TGTTCATTACGAATATGGGACCATTCCAGTTGGGACTCAATTAGAGCATAGAGGTCAGAGTGTATGTGAAAGAAATTTCAACCGATGACAGTTCATTGGATTTCATTGACAAATCCATGGCTTCATACTGTTTATTATGAATTTAGTAAACAAGTATTTTGCATACTTTCTTTAAATGCAAATAAATATTGCAATTAGTATTGACTTGATGCTATTTTTTGTGTTAAATTTTCAAATATTTGAATTCCTTATGAATGCTGACATGTCAGTATTTCACTCATTAAACACATTTTCAAGTTTTGGTATGTCATCTCAATTTTCAGAAATGGTCCAGTTAATTTTAAGACCGTATTTAGTTTCCTGTGTACACAACAATAAACAGCTAATGGTGTTGGATGATATGAAACAGCTGTTTCAAGATTGCCATGGTGACTGTGGAGCTCTGACTGGAACATGTTCAGTGCATCTTCAGCTCCACTGTGTCCAACTCAGTAACCCATACATGCAGGACTCCATGAGTGAGTTTACATACTACGACTACTACCAATAATAATAATAATATGTGCATTAATAATGCACCAATTTCCACTTCAAGAGGACGCTCATGATGCTACTATGCTTGTCGGGATCGGGTGGTCAGGCTCGCTGACTTTGTTGATGCCTGTCATATCCCAATTGCATGGAATGATGCTCATGATGTCAATCACAGGATTGTCTGGTCCAGACTCGATTATTTACAGACCACCGTCATATAGCTGGAATATTGCTGAGTGTGGCGTTAAACAACAAACAAAATAAAACATTACTACTCTAGTCAGTTGATCAGTTTGCACTTGTTTTTCATTCTCAGCTCCCTTGGAGCTGCACACTATAGCTTGGTATTTATACATCTACACCATGGGTAGCTTCAGAGAAAATATATTTAAACGGTTCGAGCTTATATGTTGCGTTACTTAATACTCAGATTGATGAAATTTTTGTCTTATATTGACATTAAAACACTTCCTTTAAAATATATCATGTTTCTATGGCAGATATTACTTCCTAAGTCATGTTTTCTCTCTGGTTGTGGGAAACATAAGTTTAATCAATAGAGAAATATTAATCTATATTTATTCGAAAAATTATGCTTGGAATAATTATTCTCTCAACTGATTTAATTTACTTTAAAATTCTTGTTCATTATCAGAATTACATTGTCCAATAAGAAAAATTGTGCACTTGAATTATTACATACCAAAAATATTTTATGTAACAGAACACGTATTCTCTGTGATGGTATAAGTTCTCTTACCCTCTTGAGACAAACCTGGTATTACTCAGTAAGCAAGATAGCATACTCCCTGGATACTTATCCGATATAAACTTGATATACATGTACTATATATATATATCCATTACTTAACTGGGGAGGAGACTGTGTTTGTCATGCATGTCAGTTGTGTGAATGTTATGTTTGCAATAGACGTTGTTGTGACTGACATCTGTGTGTAAATGTGCTGTAGCCATGCTATTTTGTATATGTACAATTGTATATTGTTATTGTTGTCTTGTCTTGTCCAGAGTAACATGTTACATGTGCATAATAAACTTTTGTGGAGAAAATGTCTGGTGTATTTATTTGAACAAATTCAACAACTCAGAGCTGAGGGGCGGTCAGGTAGCCTAGCGGTTAAAGCGTCCGCTCATCACTCCGAAGACCGAGGTTCATTCTGAATGTGTGTTGCTGGGTGTGCTCCAGAGCAGGACAGGTCCCCAGACCCTATAGTAGGAGCTAACGAGGATGAGGATTACTTCAATATATGTACTGCTGACATAGTCATTGCATCCTGACACCCAGGATCTTTGCACAGACACCATGGTCTAGTGGTAGAGCGTCTTCCCGGATAGCGGAAGGTCTGAGGTTTGGTCCCCGGCTGTGGCATACAAAAGATATTAAATTATGGTACTTGTTACCCTGTCTGGTGATCGTCATTAAGGGGTTAAAACATGGACTGGTCGGCTTGGAGTCAGTATACTGTGTCTGAGTGGGGTATTGATGTTAAACTGCGGCATGATATCTCAGTGGGCTAGTGCTATAAAATTGGCATCAGTCTGGACTAGTACAAGCAGCCACACACACACACATACACACATACACACACACACGCATGCATGCACATCGCTATTTAAATGCAATAAACTTGGATGTGATGTTAAATCCGTTTCACCTCACCTGGATCTTTCCACTGGTTGACTCAGATGTGAACATTTACATGATCATGAAGATACACCAGGACTGTTGCATTCAGGACATAAAACATCATACACTCACCCATGCCTTGACTCTTCTTGGCTTGCAATCAGTTTGTGGGCCTTACATTTATATTTTAGGGAAAATATTCTTGGATCTCAGTTAGAGGATGTCTGCTGGTGTGTGTACTAACAGAAAAAAGTAACTGTGCTTCATACAAAGTTCAATAAAAATTAATATATTCTGAAATAAGCTTTCAATACATATTCATGAAAACATCGCAACTTTGAGGTCGTGGTTCACAATTTGCACCTGCATGTTCATGCACAGCGCACAATTTGGATGTTTGCGTGTTTGTTGGAAGCATGATGCACGTTTCTTTAATGTGAATGTGCCCTGGATATGCTGCAAACAGGAAAGGCACAAAACGTAGTTGCCAGACATTTGAATGTTCACTGAAACACAATATTATCTCTTTGAACATGTTATATACAGCAGGGCAACACTCATGACTTGCCATGGGCCGGGCGTCCATTTGTGACGTCACGTCAACAAGACAACCATATTCGGTAGGTGCATCCGCGGAATCGAAACCAAACTGCCACATTAACAGCGCGGACAATTCCTGGTTTGAGACCAATTAGTGAGCCCTACGCAATCGGTTGAGACAGTACAACATGCCCCCGACATCCAGCGATATGCCAAATTTTGCTTCCATGTCACTGTCAGACACACCTAGCTTGGTGCAGACAGGAACTAAGGTTTCCAAGTCACGATTGGGACAGTATATTTTTACAGATAGGTCCAGGTGCGACCATGAGTTTTAGCAATGCTTGCGTTATTCGACTCAATGGGTGAACACAACTCATCCTCGTAAACGGCAATTGAATGGCATATGCTACCAGTACGACATCGTTCGAGATCATGTTCTACCCTTTGTGCAAATGCAGGGACATAACATCACCTTGCTGTAGGATAATACCCGCCCACATGTTGCACGTGTTGTATCAGAGTTGAGGCAGCATAACATTGCTATACAGCCATGGCTGGCTGTTTCTCCAGACCTCTTCTGCATAGAACATGATCTGGGATCAGATGGAACGACACCTACGACAAGACCAGAACCAGCCACTCATGCTAGATCAGTTGGGCCAATCTTTGGTTAACATTTGAAACAACATCACAGGCTGTTTTCAATCATATGTTCCAAAACTGTGATGTCATTTAAAAAACTATGTGCATCTTGTGTTCTTAAAACTATGATGTCATTGCATTGTAACATTGTTGCAAAAACTATGTGCATCTTGTGTTCTTAAAACTATGATGTCATTGCATTGTAACGTTGTTGCAAAAACTATGTGCATCTTGTGTTCTTAAAACTATGATGTCATTGCATTGTAACGTTGCGAGGTGTCAGCCTTGCAGACATCATCAGTGGCATGTCACTGCATGTTTGAAATTTAGATTATACGGAAGCCCCACTATTGTGTCCAGTTGCTAAAACATTAACACGTATTAAGAAATTATTGTTTTCTTATTAAAAAATGTTAAAATGTGTTATAAAGGGGGACTACAATCATGCATTTATGCAAAACTGTATACACACATATAAGCCCAAAATATAAGGTATGAATTTGACCAGGTATTTAATAAGTACGACAAACAAAGAATTGCACAACAACCGTAATCCTTTTTTCAATGAGGTGAAATGCGGTTTCTCATCACATCCCCGATTATTTCATTTGCATGAAAATGTGCGTGTGGCTGCTTGTACTTGTCCAGACTTTTACTGGTTTCATAGTGCTAGCCCACCAATATACCATGACAGCTTTACATAGATACCCCACATACGATACATAATACTGACTCTCAAGGTGAACATTCTTTATCCCCTTCATGCCAAGCACCAGGCAGGGTAACAACAAGTACCATCTTTTGATTTCTTTTGGGATGACGCAGCCAGGGCGATCAAACCACAGACATTTCGCTCTCTGGTAAGATGCTACACTGTGGAGCAATTTTGTTGCTGTTTTGGACAATTAGAATCTTGATAAATTCATTAATATATTTCAATAACTAGACTCTTTGAAGTGATCATGTTACATAGTCTCCCTGGAAAATCATTCTTAAGAAAATTCAGGGGGGCACGGATGGCCCAGTCGTCTAAGGTCCCTGATTAGCTGTGCAGAGTTGTTTCCCTTGGGCACGACAGAAACCCATGATTGTGGGTTTCGAATCCCGATTTGCTGATGTTTCTAGGTTTGTCAGCACCATACCTGTGCTCGTGGGTTTCCCCGAAGTGTTAAACAACTGAGACCTGCATCACTGCAGGCTTTTCTCCCACATTAAGCGGACACGCCGCAATATAACTTTAATACTGTCAAAAGCGGCGATAAACCCAACTCACTCACTCACTCACCCATATTCCCATATTTTGGTCACTGGTTGATATTCTACAGATACTGCTACCTAGTGAACTAAAGTTGACACTGTGGAATATACAGACTATGTCAAGTTATTCAGATTTAGACAAGTTAATACTTGGCATACCATTTAAGTATGATGATAAGGCAGAGGGGCTTACCGCTGGATAGTACTTCAGCGAACGAGTGAGTGAGATAGCGACTTTGGTCTTACCGCTTTTAACTGTATTCCAGCAACAGCACGCAAAACCCCAGAAGAGGGTTTATCCATACTGTCTTGTGATCATTCGAACAAAAACCATACCTCCTCTGTACCAGGGAGAATACTCAAATAAAAGACTATCAAGATTGAAGTTATTTTATTCGGATAATGCAACACCCAGTGCATCACAATGACAGCTTCAAGCACACAATATGTCATACTCCCCGTATATACAATCAGTTGCTGTACAGAATACAAAAGTTTGGCAGACACAAATTAATATCCAACCCATTATTATTCAACCCACAATACAAACATAAATGAAAGGAATAGTTGTTACTGAATGATGCCTTGGTTCAGTGTTGAGAAATAACCTTGGAAGATGTAGAACAATTTCGTTCAACCAGGTTGTCAGTGTGATGTGGTGCGATGATGTAAAAATGTATCCTCTTATTTATCAAAACATGGTAAAAATTAGTGTCAGCAAAATATAATTAATTTGTTTCATTTACCGTATTTGACGTAATAAGCGCCCAGGGCACTCTCAAAATTAGAAATAGGGGGCTCTCTTTAGAATATTATTTTGTCAAAAAAAAGATAAATTTCGTGATTTATGCTGACAGCCTGAAATGTTTATGTACGAGAGATATATTTTTCCAGAATTTAATTGCCCATAATTAAGGGTGCATATAACACACGAGTGTCATCTTTGTAGGTGATCATCCCTGTAGTATCTTTAGCCAAGTCCAAATCTTAGCTGACCTTGCGCATGTACCTCGTTCCATGGTCCACAACGTGGATGCAAGTTCTCACTGTCAGTGATAGGTGTACCTGCTCCACAATTAGAGGCCATTGCAGTTACAAAATGATTCTGACAAACTGGTTCCATTGTTGGTTTGCACAGCAAGCACAGTGCTTTTATCCAATAGGGGTGCCAAAAGAAGAGGTAAAAATATGTACCGTATCAGTTTGATGGTGTGCATACAAAGCATCCTTCATTATGAATGTAAACAAAAAGTAGATATGTCAACACCTCGATTTTGATTTTAGTTCACAAACTGCATACTGTCAGATATTTGTTTTCATTCAATACCGAGACCAAATGAATGCTATGTTTAGTGACATCCAATTGCTGCCTGCGACAAATTGGCTCCGTCTGTGAACTTTTACCAGCAGTCACAATTGCATAAAAGCCTTTTAGGGCCATTTGTTTTTTATTTTCTTTCTTGAAATTTCAAGAAACTAAGGCGAAATTACAAGCTAATTTTTTTATCTTGAAATATCAACTAAGTATGTGTCTTGACATTTCAACTTAGTAAAATTTTAACTTAGTACCTTGAAATTTCAACATTGCTTCTTGAAATTTCAACTTAGTATTTCAATATACCAAGCTGAAATTTCAAGATACATACATTAAAATTTCAACTTATTATCTTGAAATTGCAACATAGTATCCTAAAAGGCTTTCATACAATCGATCAACAGCTTCTGAACAGCTGGAACCAAAAACAGATACAAGGGAAAAAAGGTTTGTTTTAACAAAATCATCAACCCCTATAACTGAAACAGAACAGCAATATCATACCTTTTAACAACTATGTTGAAAGAAACAATCATATCAATGGCATCTTTTAAGTAGCAAACAGAAAGATTAACACAATTCTTTTCACAGATATGTACAACACATTTGATAAATCTCAGTAGTAACTAATGAAAACATAACAAAATATGATAAAATGTAAATCAAACAAACAGCAGATTCTGACATAAAACCTATTTGATATATTTACAACTTTTCGATAACCATATTAACATATTAGAGATCACAAAATTCTACAAAATTTCTGACTAGTGCAAAACTTAAAATGAAACTCATTAATAAAGTTGCTCAACAAAATAATCGCAGTTTCTTCAACTTATCAAAGCTGCTTATATAGTGCAAAACTGCATCCTCATGTATGCTCAAAGCACAAAATCATCAATTTATCAGAGGGCACTCAAATTTTAATCTCAGCTCCTGGGGAGTAGACAACCCAAGCTTCGTGTGAGATGCAATAAGTTTGACAGTCACAATTTACCATCACATCCCATCGGTACCCATTCATTGCTGAACAAGAAAATGCCAATAGCAGACTTGAAAGTCTGTTCTTCACAACAATGTTATGCCAGATATAACAAACATATCTGCCCTTTGAAGTGTTACTTTCAAATTTTTAACAAAACAGAATTTCAAATAATTCTTTACACTAGAATATTGAACTGCTCTCCGGTCTCACTCATTCAAACATGCTAACATTCATCTCAACACCCTCAGCACATGGACGATCAATCTGTTGAAGCACATATATTTACAAAACACAGATCAGGCTGATGTGTTACATGTAGGAATCAACTTCTACATATGAATATATATCTTATATGGAGTGAGTGAGTGAGTATGGTTTTACACCACTTTTAGCAATATTCCAGCAATAACACGGTGGGGGGACACCAGAAATGGGCTTCACACATTGTACCCAAGTCAGGAATCAAACCCGGGTCTTTGGCGTGACAAGCTAACGCTTTAACCACTAAGCTACCCGACCCCCATCTTATATGGAATCCACATTGAGTTGAAGAATTAAGTCCCATAATCATTTAATGTTTCTCCATATGAACCAGTGATAGGATCCTGGCACACATCATTCATGGATTTATATCTGTATAGAACATTGGTCAGCCATGGTCGACCATGTCCTCGCCTTTGATATGCTCATTAAATGTGTTTTGGTTTGTATGTTTGTTGTTAAACGCAGCACTCAGCATTATTCCTGGTATATGACTGAAGTCTTTAAATAATCGAGTCAAGACAAGACAATCCATTGATTGACATCATGAGTATAGATCCGCACAATTAGAATACAATATGCAATCAACCAAGTCCGCAAGCCCGACCACCAGATCCATATAGTCGTCTCTTATGACAAGCATAGGTTGTTGGGGACCTGTATTCTTACCTGGAATCCCCATGTTAAATCAGTTCTGTTTTCTTGATTACATTTCTTACTGAAAAAAACAAACAAGTTCTTCTCAAATAATGCCTTTTTAAATGTTACGGTGGTCTGTTGTGTTCAGTATGAGATGGTGTGCTACTTCAGAGTCAGTGTTTTAGGGTTGGTCTTTAAACAGAAACATAATACTCTTGCGGGGACGTTCTCCAGAGGAGGGCTGTGCATAAGACCAAAATATTTCTGAATGGCAATAAATATGTGGATTTCATTGTATCAAGCAACCCTAGGTCGGAAGAAGTGGGTACCATGACAAGTTCATATTCAAAATGTAGAAGTTGATTCACTAATTACAAAGAAAATAAATACAGATATGTATCAATGACAGATGTATGAGATTAACATTAGATTGTTATGTCGCAAAATATTAGAAAATGAAATCAACCTTAAAAAAACTGATGTTACACAAACTTCAGACAGAATACCATGCACACCAGTGCATTAGGTTTCAAGAGCCTTGTGAGAATTATCTCCCTTGAAGTTGAACGTGTCTTATGATGACACTTCTAAGAAATCACCAAAAGGAATTTTGTCAAATATAAGTATTTTCATCAATATCATAATGATAGATCTTTCAGGCGCAAGCTCAAAACTTTCCTATTTCTATTCTATGTACTATTTATTAAGAAAAATGCCAAACATTATATATTACATTAGAAAATAAATCTAGTGGGCATTAATGAAATGGTTCCATCAAACTGCTAGCGACCAGAATACATTTGTAGGCATAGATGATAAAAAGAATCAGTTTGTGAAGCTCCCTCAAATCAGAGAGAGATGGAAACACAAGGAACATGTGTCATTATGATGGTAGGGAGCAGAACAGCCCTGTGTGGAGTTGGCCAAGAGCAGTGTAATGTTATAGGGTTGGTGGGTTTACCAAGTGAAGAAATATGCATTGTTTATATCTTTAACAACTCAGTGAGTTAGGTTTAACACCGCTGTTAGCAATATTTCAGCAATGTCACGGCAGAGGGACACCAGAAATGAATTTTGTAGTCAAATTATCTATATCACAATTTATAGTTTAAAAAGTAGAAACTGGTGCACTTTTGATCTTGCCTCTGAAATGCATGAACATGCATATGACATATAAACTGCAAAACAGATCTAATCTGTAACGGTCGTTAAACTCCAAAAGACTAGCTATATGGGTTGTCTTAAGTTTTCAAAAAGTGACATTCACATAGTTCTTGTCTGAAATCAGGGGTACTGGCAACTGAACATTTAAACATTCATTAAACACACTGAATATTTACAAATGAATCCAACTAGATGACACAATAAAAAATGTAACATGTACACAATAAATACCATACTACACAATCATGGGAATACAACCAATATTAACTCTTTGAATAGTTTTTTAAAGCATTAAAGAGTCAACACTTGCATGATATATTATTGCAATGTAGTTTCAAACTGTGGAAGTTCAAAAATATACAATGTGTCTCCTTCCTACTAAATCTGTACATAGGTTCGACACACACAGTGAATGGCCAGGAGTAATGCTGAGCAAGTTGGAGATAATTGTTGCCATTTGCCAGTTAATAACACCACAACAGTTACCGGTAGTATGATACTTGAAGCCAAGCTCATACACTTCACATCATGGTAAACTCATTCAGGGGTGCTGACAATTCACAAAATACAAGTCAGGTCAAAGTTTGTTTCAGTTTTTATCCCATTGCAGAACCTCAATACTTTACCAGGATCTGCCTTAAGACTATCAGGAACTGTCTCTAGACCTTAACAGGAACTGTCTCAATACTTTACCCGGAACTGTCTCTAGACCTTAACAGGAACTGTCTCAATACTTTACCCAGAACTGTCTCAATACTTTACCCGGAACTGTCTCAAGACTTTACCAGGAACTGTCAATCTTGACTTAATGAGAAGCAGGTCTTCACAAATATTTTTAAGAGTCTCCAATTTTGGTTTGATATTCCACAAATTTTATAACTGGATTATACTATGTATTTGCTGCAAATAAGTGCCATGAGCCTTTAGGAAACAGACAACGGGGGGACACTAATTAAAACCATAAACGTGCGAAATTTGTTGTCAGTGTCTGAGCAGTAGTAAACAATCTCGGGTTTCCAGCATTGGTGAAACTAACATTGTTTTTCGATAATAGTTACTAGGCAAATATATATATCCCTTCTACATCGCTGTATACGCAAGAAACTATATACTGTCATGTACACTGTCGACCTTAGCAGGGGAGGTTTATATAAATTCCTTACAGATTGGTGTAGATGTTTGTCAGAGGGTGCTTATTCCAGCAAAGTGCCTTACAGCAAATATGGTATCATATCATCCCCTGCATTTGGGGACCACACTTTGCATTTCATTCTGGAAACCCTACTATAACTGGGCTCCTGCTCTTATTAAGGGATAAACTGTGTTAATGAGGTTGACGCTAGCAAGATCTTACTGCAGTATTAATTAGTATTACTTGGAGACACGGAGAAAAATTGTGCTAAAAGACTTAATTTCCTGTTTAAAACTTTCTATTCTCACAAGATACAAGTATTTTGGAAATGATGGATTTGGAATGTCAGCTGTTCTGATCAGTAATTAAATACTTACAATATGAACAAGACAAAGGGAAGCATACATAAGGTTTCAGTCTTTGGCTATTTGTGAACAGTTTCTTTCATATATGCTATACTTCCTGATTATGTCGGCACTGAGACACTGGAAAATAGCATACTTATCTATAGATATATATCACATCTGAATAACTAAGTATGTTTAATAACTGTAAAACAGAAAACAATGTTCTCCCTTACAATGACTTCTGAAATGTTTGTGGGGTTCATATTTCTTCTTGAGTATGCTACTAAGTATGGATAATTGTTTTATTGTCTGCAAATAATTTCAAAACTTTTGCAGGTGTGCGAGAAGCTAAAAAAAACCACCTGTCATGTTAATGTCATAGTCATATACATTTAGGAAGATGTACATGTATAATGTTAGACATGTTTATCAGTTGATTGACATCTTGAATAGTCATTCTCATTCACATAAACCAATCTCTTTTTACTTCTGAGTCAGAATTGGAAAATATCCAATACATTGTATATTTATATACTTATCCTATCTCACACTTCACATTTCGCAGATTATCTGTTGACGTTTTTTCTTCTTCTTTCCCATTCTGCTTATCGTGACATCAAAATTGCTGTGCCAAGTATATGGAAAACGTTGAGAAACAAAATGTATTCTCTAATCCAACACGTCACGACAGTGTTGCATGGAGAAAGAGAATGAAGTGACCGACAAACGAGGCATGTGATCACATTGTGTAGGTCGATATGCTCGGGATTATATTCGTGACCCATTTGTTTGGGAGGTGACCATAGTGATGCTGGGATGTGTTTGGGTGGATTGTTTTCTAGAGGCTGGTAACTCTGTTCAACCATGTTTCCATATAGGATCGAAGATAAAAGAAGAAATGCATAGTGTGAGATAGGCTACGTTTAAAAATACACATTTGTAACAGCAACATAACATACACGACACAAATACATTCCATTATATGGAGGTGTTGATATTTACACTTATAGACACTTTACACACATTGCATTATTGGCAAGTAGTACGCAGCAATATTGTATTTAGCTGCAGTTCAAAGCTGTATCACATTTGACAACATTCAGACATAGGTCAAACAATTTACACCTCCATTTTGAGATGTGAAAACCAATCCACATTCCATGAAGGAATATCAAAGACTATGTCACAGTTAGCCTGACAATTTTATAAGAAAGTAGTTTTTATAACGGAAACAAAATTTCAGTTTATCATTGAGGAGAACTGTTTTCAGTGAGGTATATTTTCAGAATTATTGTTTGTTGTTTAATGCCCCATTAGCAATTTTCCAGCTATATGACAGTGGCTTGTAAATAAACAAGTCTGGGCCTGACAATCCAGTGATTGATATTGTCAGCAACAATCCACACAGTCGGGGTACGATGACATGCAATCAACCAAATCTCCGAGTCTGATCATCCAATTCATTAAGTCACCTCTCAGGACCAGTGTAGATCGCTGGGGAGCAGTTTGAACTGGGCATCCCAACAGGGTTATTTTTAGAATGAATAATGATGTTTCGCAATGAAACGTTGCTCTCATTCGTAGTGGAGTCCATCCTCTCCACAACGTTTCACTGTAAATTTTGATCATCCAGTATCGTATGTAATTAGATATGGTCATTAAAGTAACTTTTCTACTCCAAGCTTAACACCTAGCTACAGTCATGGTAAAATGCAAAAAATAGAAAATGCCTTTCTATGAGTATGATAAGTATACATTGTATGTACGCAGTCCCTCCTCGGCTGCTCCTAGCACTAAGTTTCATCACGCAACATACTCCACACACACTGAGACCCTGACGGTTGGGAAAACACGTCTTCTGGACCATCACTGTAGGGGACAGCTCTATGAGGACATATCGCTCTGAATTGTCAACCTGGGATGTTTTATCTAATTTTATTGTAAACGATACTGGATTTTCAGAGTTGCACCACATGAAAGAATTTTTTTTTTTTAAATTCTGTAGACCAAAACCAAAGATATCCTAAAAAGTTTTTACTGATTTGTATTTAGATTTCTTTTCAAAGAAATCAGGCAATCAGTCAAAGATGCACACTATTTCTGTTTATTCTGACATAAAACCCTTTCTGAGTGCAAAAATATGTGAGAAAAGTGTGGTTTACACCATGCAAGACAGGAGGCATATTGTCTAAGACTATCAGTGTTTCATAGCATGAGTCGTTTGGTCAGTATAGCAGCTTGTGCTCAGGTATGTCTACCCGCTAGAATCCTGGTCCTTTAATGAATCAACAAATTCATCAAAACCCTTCATGTCAGACTCGAACAGAGCCAGCTGGTTTGTGACCACTTCCAATGTCTCGTTAAATCCACTCTCCTCCTCATCGAACATCTTCAAGTTCGGTGCACCCTGACACTCTCGGTAGAACTTGCCAAGGTCAGTGTTGGCGTCTGCTCCTGCAAATGGTGTTTTCTGAGGAGGAAGAAGAAAGGAGTATAGTGAATGAGTGAGTAGATATACTTTCATAATACCCGGTACCAATACAAAGTAGACAAAATTTATGGATAACAACTTCTTTATTGTACTACTATAGCAACGTTTTGTTATAGATGCTTACACTGTTGTAAAGCAAGGCTGCCTAACAAAGCAGTACCAATAAAATTAAAAACAAATATTGTCACTGTTAAAGTTATGTTGTTTTCAAGCATGACTGGTCTGCAATGTTTGGAATCTCTCATCTCTGTGTCTTTGATATCTGTCAACATTTCACACAAAGTAGGTGTACTGGTGCATTGATCACACATACAAAACAGCTGTTGATGGTTGCTAATTCTTTTGCTATATTTTGGTATCTGTATTCTATCAATCAAAGATAGATCAGTCAGTCACATAACAATGAATTTAAACCATGTTGAAATTAGTTGTTTAGTCCAAAATTTTGTCACTTTCCCCTCTGGAGGACTAATCTCACAACAGACTGAACTAATATATATAGATTCATATACCAAAACTCATTCAACTCTGTCATGAAGAGATGCAACATTGCTCAAGCGATGTAAACATACGGAATCAGAGTATTCCTCTTATTGATATACTTATCCTGACACAACAACATGCAATATTCCTTCTGTGGTGATGAATCAGCCATTGAAGATGTAACAGAGGTACCAACAGTAGGTTGGAAAAACCGAGACATGCAGGTAAGCATCCTGGAGGTAGAATGAGGCCAGGAAGTGTCAGGTGGAATGGCAGTCCGAGGCAGCAGCAGCGTAACCATCCGAAACCAAGGAGGCTTGTTCAAGAAGCTGAGATTGAATACATACAGACTGTGAATCATTTGCAGCTTCAACCAATTTTTCTTTGAAACCAGCAAGAAGCAGCTATAAAATCCTGGCGTAAGGGCAAATGTAGCAGGAACTCCGTTGTCTCTATTGGGCTGAGAGTGGTCTGGTCTTAGAGGACTGAGAAGATGAGGCCTGTGTCGATGGTTTGGAGAATGGTTGGACCCGACAGAGGCAGCCTTGGGCTGATAGGGCATCCTCGGTGTATACTAGGTACCCGGCCTGAACTGTAGCTGTGGCCTGGGTGGAGGACAAAGACTTCTCATAAACCTCCTAAAAAGGATTGTTAAAGTGTTTCACGGACGACCAAGGTAAACATAAAAGCTCAAACAAGATGGGTACCACCCTTTCTTCTCAATACATGAGTAGGGAGCCCATTGCATGCATGAGAGGTTGAGCCAGATCCTGAAGAAGGCAAATAATATCTTCCAAAAACAAGAGAAGTTCCCATGAAAGTCTGTCTTTGGCAGACGAGTTCTGGCCATCAATGCTTGCACGGAGGTGGTTATGAGAGACAATGGCAGGAGTGACAGTTGAGTCAACAAACAACAGGGACCTATCATTAATCTTAGCTGCAAAGAAGCAGAGCTTTCCAAAGTAATGGCATTGTCCACATTGTTGGCATTGTTGGGTTGCTGAGGTGGGAAAAAAATCCCAATCACCTTCAATCAGGTTGGTATGATTGCAGGCTTCGGAAGCACACCCTTGAGCGTGACCTCATCCCGCCTGCTGCAGAAGTGCTGGTATACTTTCGACTATGGTATGTACGTGAACTGTGCAAGTAGGTGTTGGAACCTTCGGGGCAGAGGAGCATTTAGCCGATGGTAGAGGGACAGGTTCAACTTTGAGCATGTCCACAATCCAAAGGAGCCTATATTTGGATGCTATAAGCAGCTGCTAATCTGTGGCAGAGGCAGCAACGCTGGGCGCCGAAGTACACGTGCACGTGCTTCAAGACTCAGGAGAAGGCGACTGTGATCTCGCTGGCCTTGCTGTAGTCTTGCACAAGGCACCTGTTCTTTTGACTTTTTACCACTCATGCACTTGCGGAGAGGACGAGATAGGTCCTTGTTGATCCTGGACACTGGCTCGGAGATGACCTAACCATGCCTTCTTTTTTCAATATGTACAATATAATGAGAAATTAGAATAGAACATTAAACAAAACGCAACCGACCCTGCGTTATAGCAAGGGAAACATGACTGAGGTATACCAAAACAGAGCCTTCACATGCAGAATTACACCAAGGTGGAAACCTTGTGTCAACGTGAAACGTTCATTTACATCAGAAGTGGTCAATAACAAGGACACAAAACACCATCATAATAGTGGATGGAACATGACACGTATTGGAGAACACAGTGAGGAATATAAGTAGCCGTTTAGTTAGTTCCTTACAGCCAGGCACCACTGATTAATGTTACACAAAGGATAAATCTCAGGTTAACATTTTGTTTGTTTGTTGTTTAACGCCACACTCAGCAATATTCCAGCTATATGATGGCGGTCTGTAAATAATTGAGTCTGGACCAGACAATCCAGTGATTGAAACTCTGGAAATAGATCCACGCAATTGGGATACGATGACATGCATCAACCAAGTCAGCGAGCCTGACCACCCGATCCCATTAATCGCCTCTTACAACAAGCACAGTCACTTTTTTATGACAAGCATGTGTTGCTGAAGACCTATTCTACCCCGGATCAACACAGGTCCTCAGATTAGCAAATCGAAATGACAACCAAAGTCTTATTCCAATCGTAAACCAGGAGTGTATCAGAAACATGTCTGTCCAAGTTGGGCAATGAAGAAAAGCTGACCAGTAGTACAAGCTCGGAGAGAGGTGGTTGTTGGGTATGTTCATATGAATGTTCTACAGTTTTATGATCGAGCAAGAAGGAATATTGCATATGGTTGCATCAGGATAAGTGAAAAAATATGGCAAAGCAAAAGAATTTTCTGTTTTCAATATTAAATGAACGACTGACTCATCATTTCCAAATTTGTGCCTAGTTATCTCTTTGGAGCGAAAAACACAGGAACCTGTATTGACTTGACTTATATTCATTTGTATGTGCTTGTTGTTCTATTCAAGCCATATGATGTCGGTCTCTACATAATTGAGTCTAGACAGACAATCCTAGTAAATGATACTATGAGCAATGATCCACTCCATCGGGTACAAGGAGCCAGACCACCTGGGCGCAGTTGTACAAAACAACCTTAGCGCTACGACTGTCTAAGTCTATGTTAAGGTATGGGAGTACGATCACCTTAGCGCTAAGATCGCTTTGTACAACCGCACCCTGATCCACATAGTCGTCTCTTGCGACCAGCATAGGTTCCTGGAGACCTATTCTCAAAAGTAATCATGTCAGGAGATTCCTCTTTGTAAGTGGACATCGCCCTTTGAAAGCTGACCTTTCCATGAACAAAACTAAACATGCAAAAATAGGAAAACATCTCAGAATCACCATACCAATTCCACCATCACAAAATCATCTGGTGCTGAAGCATCGCTGCTATTGCTCTTGTTAATATCACTTCCAGCCGAGTTGGTTGTGGTTTCCATGTTGTCTGTCTCTCCTGATGTGATAGAGGATTTGAGTTTCTCTATAGGTGGTGGGGGCGGTGGTGGTAATTCTGCAGGTTTGGTCGGAGCCAGGAGGCTGAAGAAGGGGATCTCTTCCATGTCAGTTTTCAAGTCCTTCATGCTGCGGTGTGTCGCAAACGCCCCCACCCTCTGCAGCTCTGTGAAGCTGTTTGAACCCTTCTCTGGAACGCTGCAGGGAAAACGGTTAGAACTTAGACATCAATTCTCATATCTGGGATTAGCAATAAATGCAAAAACATTCTACCAAACAAAAATAGACAACATGAACTCATTTCGCACTCATGGTTTATGTAACATAACTAGAATTAAGGAGAAACAGGCAGGAATTTATCTAGGATTCCTAAGTGCCCTTATGAAAAAAAACCCATACATTTTCTTATATTCAGAGGCATTTTCACACAGTATCTTAACAGTGCATTCAATGCAATAATGTAAAACAATGCATCAAAACCACTTCCTTATGAACAGGGTATTTTAATTACAATTTTAAATGTTTTACAGACATTTGTTTCAGATTTGGGGTGGAATATTGGTCTCTGAGCAGGTCATGTAACTTGCTAACCTCCTGGGTCGATGGTCATCCTTGTCTTCTGTTGACTTTTCATTGATGATACAAAGTGGCTGAGTGTTGAGAGCCATTCCGCACTCATTGATGTTGAGGTCGGATGAGGGGCTGGTAGAGAACATGGTGGAACACAGGTCTTGTCTGTCCAGGCCCACGTTCAGGAGCTCATCAGAGGTGCTGTTCCTGAGAAAAGAATGAAATGGACTTCATACAACTCTGTAAGGAGCCTGCTTTCTTCTGAAATGTGGATTATTAGTTTTATATAAGAATCAAAATGGTGAGTGATTGAATGTTTAGCATCACACCAAATTATAATAACAGCTTTATGATCATGATGATATAATGCTGGGGTAAGCTGGCACACGGACAGGCAGGTCACACATTGTAACCATGTGCAATCCCAAAGGTGAAAAATTAGTTTTGCTATAATCACTGATAATTCAATCTTTAAACTTTGGGCTTTATCATTGTTCATACTTATACATTCATAATCAAAAGAATGAAATTCTATCATGTCTATGCAAGCAACAAAACATACTTCAGCTGTTTGAATGAGTAACACTCAAAATTATTTTACCTAAACACATGAAAATTTTCACTTTTGGAAATTCAGAAAACACATCCTTCCATGAATTTCCTTCAATCTTGTATTGTTGGTCAATATTTATGGTTGGTTATATTACAATGATTACATAAACAAATAAAATATAAAAATTTCAAATTTGAATCAGATGTTACGGGAAGACACTGGAGATGATGTCCAACAAGCCTTGCATTACGCTCTCTCTGATTGGCTGATATTTCTCTCCTTTGAGTCTATTGGCTTAATCACACAGGGCAATATAAGTTTTAGTCGCTGCCCAGCAGGGTGGGTCTCAGGGCAATACCGTGTTTTCAGGAAAGACCTGTGACCCTTTCTTGACCAATAACAATACAGATAAACTTTGTAATAGTACTGATATTCAAGATTACCTTCTAAAACCTAAACTGCAGGGTTTAGGTGTTGTCGGTAGTTTTGGGCTGGCATCTCTCTTGAAATGATCGTCCTTAACTTCAAAAGGTAAATCCTTGGTAGTTTTGTGTGGAGAAATGAGCAGCTTCGTCCGGTAAGCCAAATTCAGCAAGATTGTCCCTACCGGCGTAGGAATTGCTCCAACCTTAGTAGACTGGTACCCATCACCCAACTGAAAGAACTGTGGATCTCCGAGATAGATTCTGTAGCATATGACATAATCTCCTCCTCCATTGGCACTCTGTCTCCTCGCTAACCTGTAGGCAGGAGGAACACGAGAAACTGAGAATAACGATTTTAAAGCTATGCCCATCCTGTTGTAGACGGTGTAGGAGACCTTGACACCCGGTTCACACTGTTCCTTGTTGAGGGAGATGTACCACGTCTCTAAGACCATGGTGTCGCCCTCTGCCGTTCGCAGGGATATCTCCACACACACATCCTGACCCAGCATAGACTGCTGGCCAGACAATACCTTCTTTGCTTCAGAGTGTACTTCTGGGATGTCCCGTATGGCAAGATTGAACTGAAATGAAAATGTAAATGATTTCACTGTATTCAAGTCTTTGGATGTGGGTGTATTTCCTCATTGAAAAAAATATTTGTCAAAACAAAATATGCAGTTACGAAAAGTATGCATATAATATGTTTTTTTTAACAGTATTTCACTTAGAAAGTAAGAATTGCGCATGATCATAACAGCAAGTAAAAGACAAAAAATATATATGGCATTTTGAACATAAAAATATACATTCAGCAAGTTTAGTTGAACACTTCTGAAGTGATGTTACTTTATGCAAGTAATGTGAACATGTTTTTTTGTGTTGGTAAACAAATGTAATTTCCTAAATCTTTGATGTTCCACTTTATCAGGCTTATACTACATCAGCACTTGTCCTTAGGGTCATACATGATCATTTGAATGATAAACACAATAAACATGATAAACATGCGAAAGTGATATCATTTTCAGCGGTAGAAACTAACATTTTTAGTCCACTTGTCCTTATAATGATAATATATATAGCAAAACCCTTAAACATGTTAAAAAAGGAAACTTTCTATGAGTCTATTTGGCAGTTTGGCAACGACTACAGGACTAGTGCCAATTCATAACGCTGATTGGCATGGCATCTTTTAGCTTAAATTTTGTGAACAGTTGAACAGTTGAACAGTTTAACAAACATGTTTAATAAATAAATATATTACACCAACTTACCATGCTTACCATGCCTACATACAACCCTACATGCCATTGCTAAGATTTTGACACTTTATAGTCATGACAGTAGATCTACCAGTATTTTGAGGTTGACCATAACTCATTGCCAGAGAAAAAAACTGACACACACAATGACTAAGTAGAGATGCAATTGTAAAATAAAACACTTTTTTTTAAAACAGATACATGTGTCTTAAATGACACAGAGCAGCTGAATATGCAAAGAAAATGTCATCTGGTAGTTACAACATGCATAAACTAGATTTCATATTTTCACTCTTCAAATACTTATTGACTGTGTTGGCTAATTGTTGACCTAGTTGATTTGTGAAGCCTAAAAATATCAAGCAGGATTTGTTTAGTTTGAAATATATAGAGATCTGTATCATGATTACCAACTAGGTATACTCTGTCATTTGGAGTTTTATGACTGCTTCAGCTAAGTTCAGATAAGCGCTATTTAACTTGGTATATTTGAGAAATTAACTTATAACTGATACACTCCAATAGTTTGTCCTTGTCCTACAACATGGCTCTTTGGTAGGTCCTATCATGTCCATTGTCATGGATACTTCCAGAAAACATTTCAAAACATCTCCTGACCGGCATAAAGCATGTTAAACTACATAAGCATCATTATCATCATTACGTAGAAAGCATACTGCAATTAACTAGGTAACTACAATAACAACTGGCCTCCCAGGAAAATGTTGGTTAGTTTACCAGGTTTCAACATTAATTTATAATTTAGTCAACTCCAAGGTAAACATTGTGAAAAAGGAAAATTGGTTCTTATAACTTGTGGTTTTTCAGTGTGTCGGAATATGTTTATAAAAATCAGTATCAATGTAACAAATTATTAGTTTTTAAGCTATTTTTTAATTTCTTCAGTTTACAGCTGGTGGATGACACAATGCCAGGCTGGTACATACCCAGTCTGCGCCTGATGAAAATGGTTTTGACTTGGTCCTGATCTTTTCGCCGAGTCTTGATTGAACGATGATTTGAAGGCTCTTGAAAATGAAAAACTTTGTGAATTTCTCCAAGTCCTTCTTATCTTGACTATTTAACTTTCCAGCAGCCATATTCATAGTCCGTCCGTTGTTTACGTTTTCTGGTTCACCACCAGTTGTTCCAATGTGACATTTCAACGATTGTCCTGCGTGTAAGCATATGTCAGCACGTCAAAGTGTTGACAAACTTTAAATCATGAATAGTTCTATCTGTATTTTGATGTACATGCCCCTACACAGGGAGAATAATCCACAACATTCATAATTTTCCTAAATATTTTCACTGTCAACGCAGACAGTCTAAACTTCCTGTTACCCACAATTCCTGGACATTATAAAAACTAAGACTATTTTCCACACAACTCATTCAGTTAAAGCGTCCCCAAAGGAACTTCTGTTGAAACTAAAACAATAACAGATGATTAAGTTATTGTGTGGTGTTGAATATTGACAAATATCACAAGGTGCGTACCTTTAAACAATTTTCAGTTTTAAATACATGTACATGTACACGATTGACATCCGGCAGTGACGTGCCAGTTTCCAGTTACATCGTTGTAAATTATATACAACTTAGAGAGCATACGACCATTCACCTAACCAGTCGTGGAAAATTGAAGTCAAAACCACTTTGCAAGCGACCATTCACATTATAGTTTCAGTCAAATTAAAGAATAAAACGGACGACACTCCACAAAAATATTACCAGAAAAATGATGAGTTATGCCTAAAACGGCCCCGGTGTGCCGAAAATGGTCGCGAAAACGGCCCCATATAAAAAACGTATGTATTCAAACAAATGAAACATACGTTGTGATTGATGAGGACACAAAAAGTATGTTTTACTCAGAAACAAACTTTTTTTTTACTTGAAATGTGCGCGTATTCATCAAACCTACAGTCCACACCTCACACAAGTGAAACAGGAAGGACGTGAGTGAGGGAGGGAGGGACCTTTATATGTTTATCACCTAATCTGTGGACAATTAATCTGTTTGCACAAGCAAACGTAATTCGAGTCATTATCTATAACTGGTATATTCACATATTTGTTTCTTGTTTAACGTAACAATTACTTTCATCAAGGCTTATTCTTTCTGAAAATGTGAAATGATTTGTTTGTTGTTTAACTCCGCAATATTCAAGCTACACGAGGGCGGTCTGTAAATCGAGTCTGGGCCCGACAATCCTGTAGAACAAATAAACGCAGAACAAGCATGGGTTGCTGAATCCAAATTCTATCCCGAAACTTCACGGGTGATATATGAAATGACATGTTCAAGTTCAGGTAAAGGATGCCACATGTTGTCCCCCCACCCTCATAATATAAGACTGCGAACCCCCCTTTATAATGATAAAAATAACAGCTATTTATAAACATGAAACATATTTTGATACCAAAATGTGTGTCCTCCCATAGCCAGATGCCCAGTCAGACAGCTTGTAACCAACAAAAACTATAAGCCTGACCTCATATCGTCTACACCCCATTTCGCCTACGCCCTTATTAAAACAAATTTAGGGTTGACTGCACATCACATAAATGCTGTTATACCTTTAGAAGTCTGAACTCTTTCACTCATGAGGTATACTTCATATATTTCAACAACTAAAGAAAATAAACTCTTGCACTGATGATTTATACTTTAATAAGGTCATATATTCAACATACATCAATATCATCATCACGATGATCAGTCACACAAGTTAATCAAGTACATGTGTGATTCACTAATTCATCAGTCACATAACAATTACTGTAATTTCACCAAGTGTCCAACTGCATCACAGTTTTTCGTCCAGCTGCGAGGTGTAGCTTCAGTCTCTCAAGTCGGGCATCTCTGTCTCTGTCAATACGTGCACGGCAGTTAACAGCACCACTAAGACCTGTCTGTCGTCTAGAACGTTTATCTGCTGTCTCAATCTTCTTGATTTCTTTTATGAACTGGTAGATGCTGAGATGTGACCGGGGCATTCTCTTCTTTAGTCCATTGTGAAACCCCTCCAGGTGGTTGTTGGGGCGAGGTCCAGTGTTCTGGTTCCAGATATTACAGGGAAATCTGGCGTCGTCTTCTACCCAGGTACTTGTTACATAGTCATTGAAGGTGGAAATCTGTTGACCATCTGGACCCTGCTCCATAACTTCAATCCAAACATCTTGGACTTGATCCAGCTGCAGCTCGTCGGACGTGGCTCTGTTCTGCAGGATTGTTCATGTACTCTCGCACAAGACCTCCGTCAGCAACTTGACGCCACAAAGCTTGGGCATAGTGGAAGAAACAGCCCCGAACTGAGCTGCCAGGGAAGATCTCACTGACACAATCTCATTAAAATCAGATCTTAGTTTTCGCTACCGCCAAACAATAGCGAAAACTAAAATCTGATTTTAATGAGATTGTCACCGACAGCACTGATAACAACCGATTCAAAGTCTGTCTGGATCACATCTGGGGAGAGTTCTACACCAGTCCTTGCACCAACAATGTCCTTCAACAATCTAAATAATCTAACATAAGTCTGCTTGGTCTTGTGTGGGAGCAGTGAAAATGCCACAGGATACATTTTGCCATCCACCAGACAGTGAATAATGTACACCTGCAACCACAAGCTAGGGCAAACAAAGAAAGTACCATCCATAAACATGATGTCAGCTTCACTCTGTATTTCCAACATCTCAATGGTTGCAAACATCTCAATGGTTGCAAACACCAGTAGTCCGTCATCTACGCCGTCGTCTACGCACAGGAAGTCTCTGCCATCTTCTGTCTTGGTCCATGGATCTTCCAGGTTGACGTTGGCTCTGGATTCAGGAACTGGCGGAACCGACTTGGCTCTATGTCTGTACAAGGAAGCTTGTACACTGGCAAAGGAAGGCATGGTGGCTGCTGTGTCTTCGTCAGCTTGGTCGAGTTCAGCATTGTAGATCTGCTGCTCAAGAGTGATGTCCGTCTTGACAAGTTCCTTCATTCTGGCTATCATTCTGATGTGATCTGCATTCTCAACAGGAGGATGAGTGTGCGGAGTAGTGGATGCGATGTGGTCGCCGATAGTGCTGCATCTTCCATTGCAGCCAGGAATGACACACTTCCAGTGAACTGCAGGTTGACGCTTGACATTCAGTCTGTATCGGTATCCATCCAGCATGAAGCACTTGTTGACCGCCTCTCTGTGTAGTAACAAACTCAGCTCTCTAAAGATCTGCCATTTTGACGCTGAGTGTGAAACTTGCAGAGGTTTATATACAACATTGCGATAAAGAATAAGATGAGATGAGCAGGTCTTGCTAACACAGAAAAAAACAGCTTAGGTGATCAAAGAAAAAAAGGATTAGTAAGTCATGTTTATACTATAAAAAAAACATGTGTATGGTTGATCAAAGAAGAAGATAAGTAAGTCATCAATCAAAGCATGTATAGCCAGTTGGGTAATACCCATTGATATGATAGGGTGGTACAACTCATCATTATAATTATTGTAGGCCATATGGAGTGTAGGCGATATGAGGGCAAGCCCAACCATATGGCTGATTTTACAGATACCCGCTCTGCCCTCCCCACCCTAACTGTTATTAAAATGGTTTGATCCAACAGTTGGTAACAGAAGTACAGAGAATTTTTTCCTTTACATTTTTAAGCCACATTCGAAAAGTTCCCACCTATGCCCAATTAGTTTAATTCAATATATCCGCTAAGTCCAGTTTGGGTTCAGATAGGGGTGTTGACTTCATTATTCCATACTCCGTTGTCTGACTGATTGCACATCTCACGAATGGGAGTAAACCATCAAATACGTTGGCGTTTTCTTCACGCGGCCAAACACCAAGACTTCATAACTGACCACTGACAGGTGATTATTGACCATTGTGTCCCCATTAAAGGGGCACTGACCTAAAGCAATTCCCCGGTACTGGTTGTTGCCTTTGTTATTGTTGTTTTCTCCGTGAGTACCCGGATGATACGCAACGCAACTGAGCGTGACAAGAGACTGTGCTACCGTCTGTAAGGACAGCTAAATAAACTTGGAGGCAATATTTGTTTTACACAGTTTTGAACACTGGTTAACCGTGATCTATAAAGATTTCGACAAAGGGCGCATGTCAGTTAATTTCTTCAGACTAAACAGACAAAAAGAACGGCGGAGCTCATCGGATGCCGTCATTTGGAAAGGCCCCTGATTGTTATATACTGAACCGCAAAAGAAACGTCACCATTGATAGATATATGAGAAACCTTATTTGTCCAAACACTATAAAACATACTTTGAGACATATCAAAAAGATGAAACTTGGCAAATCTGATCATCAAGGTTGAAATTAAAGTGTCAAATGTTCTTAAAGTGAAACACAACACTAGCCTCTCAGAAAATGGCATCACAAGTCAGTATCTCGTATGGGATATTGTTCCTTTGTGTGGATATTCACAGATACATTCCTCGACCAAGGATGCTTCCTAAAATTATACACATAAGTTTGGTAGGTTGTAATTATGATATTTGCATTTTGTTTTCCTTCATTTGCTGTAGCATTGGACAGATTCGTTCTTGTTCCTCTACGTCTTGGTTCGGAAATTCTTCGATGTGCGATAGACGTTGTTGTCTTTTCCTTTGTAAGCGTGTATATATTACAGTCAATTTTTAAAATATGATTCTCTCAGGCAAATTATAAAATGTGTAAATATTTTAGTCATTTTGACTGAAAAATCGGTCCATTTCTTTAACAGTTTGACTAAAATTGATAAAGACGATCAAAAGGGCCTAAAACATCACAATAGATTATTATGTAGGATTAGAAGCCAAACAATATAGAAATGTACTTTTCATCGTAATATGTTCAGTCTCATAAACATGTTTGTAATTCGTTGTCACAATCTTATTAAAATCATATCTTAGTTCTCGCTATCGCTAAACAAAAGGGGTAGCGAAAACTAAGATCTGATTTTAATGAGATTGTGGTTGTCACAACAATACAGATGGACATATTTTCTGTCAATTTGTAAAATAACTGAATATTCAGGCGTTTAATTTCCAAAGTGAAAAATTCGCACATTTTGACTAAAATTATAAACACGATAAAATACGCAATGCTCAGGAGAAATATTTACTTTGTGTTGCAAGTCAAATGGTGTAAACGAGAAACCGCACAATTACCAAGCAAGTGACTTATCAAAACTTCCGTCACCATTACCACGGACCTATATAACATATATACAAGTCCGTGCCATTACCGATGCTTTCCACAAAGATACCTACATTTCCTTATTATTCCTTATTATCTAAAACTGTATTTCATTTTGTTGATCAATGTGACCATACGCCCTATCAATAAAAGTGACAAATAGTCTTACAGGTCGCGAATCATCCGGGTACTCAGAAGAAAAAACAATAACAAAGGCAACAACCAGTCCCGGGGAATTGATTAAGATCAGTACCCCTTTAGCGGCAGTTGCTTGCCCAGGAACGTTCTGTATGACACTTGTTTCACAATATGTTTCATCTTTCACAACCTCATATCTTTCAGTGACCAAATGACACAGACAATTCAAACTGAGACGTTTCTTGATGAGTTCGAATATAACTAGTCGTAGGGATATTAACATGTTATCATTTTAACTTCCGGGTTCCTCACGTGTCATTTATTTACCTCTTGTTTATTTTTGTATATTCCTCATAATACTAGGTCATGCCTGCGAGTTATTCAGATCTCAACAAACCAGTGCATTTCAAACTCACGCTTGCGACACTTGGCAAGATTGTTTGCAGTTTACCAATTTTTGCAACCTTTTTCTGCGTGATTTGGTCTGTGATATTCGACTTCAAATCTTCCACAGAAACACACTGTGGGGTACGTAAAATCCCAACCTCAGTCAGTCAGACGTAAAGTCAGGCAGTGGCTTTGAGTTATTAAAGATCATGACTCTCAGATCTTGTGACTTTACATCAACAATGACGTGGATTGTAATTGTATCACAACATTTTCGACCAGTTTCTCTTTACATAAAAAAACGTTCGTCCAATTTCAAGTTGAAATTCAACCATGAATAAAAAAAACTACATGATGTTAAAAAATACACTAAAAAAACCAAAGATAGTCCATAATTCTGAATGATGCATTCATTAGCAGATAGCTGTACTATGGGATGATGGATAAGAAATAACACAATTATAGAATATCATTGACTGCTTTAAACTCTTCTATGTAATGTGGTCGGCCACTTGCCTGAAATCTGATTCTTGTAAAATTCCTTTGGTCATGTGAGCTCAGCAAATAAAAGTCTCTATCATAACTAAATCTACTGAATATGTTGCTAAGAGGCAAGTTTGGGCTGCTAGACTTGGAACATTTGGGAGACTGGTAATGGACTTGAGAAAGAAAATATATTTGAACCTTTATGTTCCAGGTACCCAACTTTTTACCATCAATAAGTGCTGCTATAGGTGGCTTCACCCCGCAGCGCTATGTGTGGCGAGTGTGTATTGCTCTCCACTGCGGCCCACGGTTCATGGTGGCCATTGCGTACTACAGCTACCACACATCAATTCATGTCGGACTCCGAAATCAGCTGTATAAAACACTGGCAGCCTTGTGCACATTTCTACACATCTGTGAAAACATGGCCTTGATAGGACTGACCTATGTCTCGTCTTCAGAGAACCATGGTGAGGAAACACTTCTTATTTCATTTCCCTTGGTATGGTTACTTTTAAAAGCAAATTCTGATTTTTGTTAGTTCCATTTGAAAAAGTGTCAAAAGGGTTGTGACTCATCATTTTCTGTTGGAGCATAAACATAACATGTTTTCAATATTGACTGAAAATAACTCTTTGTTACTCCTCCATGAATATTGACATAACTAAACCTTCTATGTATGATGCAGTTTGTTTGATTGCACTCTGCAATATTCCAGCAATATTCCAGCAATATTCCAGCTATATTCCAGGAATATTCCAGCTATAAGACGACAGGAAGCATTTTGAGGACTGTTTTGCATGACTCATCCTGTTTCATGGTTCAGGTGAACCAAATACTTTCTGTTCAGATGTCACAACTGGTTTAAACCTTATCTACCTAATGTCTTGATAATGGCTTGTCTTTGTTCATGGCTTATGTTAGCTTTTCTTTATTACTTGGATCAAAGATGTAAAGAGGCAAGCCCCTGCAGTTGGATGAAACATATAAATAAAATAGTCAGATCAATGGTCCAAATAGTATTAAGTATAGATCCCTGCTGAATATTGAAAATCATTTGGATCAAATTCAATTTCTTTAGAATAATGGGAGCATAGATGGCTCTGCTGTCAAAGGTGTCACTATGCTGTGCAGAGTCGTCTCTTCTTGTGGTCATTCTGTCTTAGTCAATTCCCCGAGTATCTTGCTTGTCATAAGAGATGACTGAAAATACAATGGGGATGAGGGGTTCATGGTCTGTGACTTGGCCAACTGCATGACATTGTACCGTTGTGTGAATAGTTGCTCATGCTTACAGTCACTGGTTTGTCTGGCCCAGACTCTCTTCCTTACAGATTCTATGATATGCTTGGTATATCCTGTGTAGTGCTCTTAGCCATGCGAGGATGGTCGGCCTCGGTGTCTTGGTTGATTGCCTGCCATTGTATCCCCACAGCATGCGTCTTCCCGAGGCAAGGGAGTTAACTGACTAACGAAGTCCATTTTCCAGCCTTGCTGAACTAGAAATGGAACTGGAATTATAGAGTTATGTTTTGGCTGGACTAACAATTCTTTGCATAGTCCAAAAAAAAGTGCGTAACGAAATTGACATATTTTTAATCAATGTGCACACATGATTTGATGCATTTCGTGATGTAAGACCTGTTTATTACAATTTGGGGTAGAATAGGTCTTCAGCAACCAATGCTTGCCGTAAAAGGTGACTATGCTTGTCGTAAAAGGCGACTAACGGGATTGGGTGGTCAGGCTCGCTGACTTGGTTGATGCATGTCATAGATCCGAATTGGGTGGCTTGATGCTCATGATATCAATCACTGGATTGTCTGGTCCAGACTTGATTATTTACAGACCGCCGTCATAAAGCTGGAATATTGCTGAGTGCGGCGTTAAACAACAAATCAATCAATCAAAATTATTACAATTTAGATATTGATTAATGATGAGATCGTCTTGACTGGGCGCCGCCATATTGTTTGAACCAAATGCAAGTGATATGAGAGGTAGAAGGGACAACTCGTTATAGCCACTGGTGGCACTACAATTGAAGCCAGAAATTCCAGCCTAGTTCGGGAAAGGTGGAAACTGGGCTTTTACAGTCAGTTAACTCCCTTTTCTTGAGAAGATGCACAGCATGGAACGTTGCTGATAATATCAATCACTGGATTGTCTCATTTAGTATATTTACAGTCCACTGTCATGAAGCTGGAATGTTGCTGAGTGCGGCATAAAACAATCCGTGATGACCTTTACACTGAATACCCAGGATCTTCATTGGATATGTAACTAAAGACACTAAAGTCTGGCAGCGTTAAGCAACAAAGAAATGGTATTTGTGATGTTTCTAGCCTCGAGTTTGGTATTTGCAGATCTGCATGAGAAGTTCTTCATCCTGTTCATGTTGTGCTCCCTGATCTACATGCTGCTGACCACCTACGTCTTCTCCTGGGGCCGGTCAGCCAATGGGAGGTCAATCTCACACACGGTATGTAACACACGGGCCGGTCAGCCAATGGGAGGTCAATCTCACACACGGTATGTAACACACGGGCCGGTCAGCCAATGGGAGGTCAATCTCACACACGGTATGTAACACACAGGGTGGTCAGCCAGTCGGCGGTCAATCTCACACACGGTATGTAACACACAGGGTGGTCAGCCAGTCGGCGGTCAATCTCACACACGGTATGTAAGACACGGGCCGGTCAGCCAATGGGAGGTCAATCTCACACACGGTATGTAAGACACGGGATGGTCAGCCAATGGGAGGTCAATCTCACACACGGTATGTAACACACAGGGTGGTCAGCCAATTGGAGGTCAATCTCACACACGGTATGTAACACACAGGGTGGTCAGCCAGTCGGCGGTCAATCTCACACACGGTATGTAAGACACGGGCCGGTCAGCCAATGGGAGGTCAATCTCACACACGGTATGTAAGACACGGGATGGTCAGCCAATGGGAGGTCAATCTCACACACGGTATGTAAGACACGGGATGGTCAGCCAATGGGAGGTCAATCTCACACACGGTATGTAACACACGGGGTGGTCAGCCAATGGGAGGTCAATCTCACACACGGTATGTAACACACGGGCCGGTCAGCCAATGGGAGGTCAATCTCACACACGGTATGTAACACACAGGGTGGTCAGCCAGTCGGCGGTCAATCTCACACACGGTATGTAACACACAGGGTGGTCAGCCAATCGGAGGTCAATCTCACACATGGTACGTAGCACTCGGGGCGGTCAGCCAATAGGAGGTCAATCTCACACACAGTATGTAAAACACGGGGTGGTCAGCCAATCGGAGGTCAATCTCACACACGGTATGTAACACACGGGGTGGTCAGCCAATCGGAGGTCAATCTCACACACGGTATGTAACACACAGGGTGGTCAGCCAATTGGAGGTTGATCTCTTACACGGTACATAGCACTCGGGCCAGTCAGCCAATCGGAGGTCAATCTCACACACAGTACGTAGAACTGGGGGCGGTCAGCCAATTGGAGGTCGATCTCACAAATGGTTCATAGCTCTCGGGAGTGGTCAGCCAATGGGAGGTCAATCTCACACCCCATCCAGAGCACTCGGGGTGGTCAGCCAATGGGAGGTCAATCTCACACACGGTAGGTAGCACCCAGTACAGACTTCCTATGGGAGGTCAATCTCCCACACGGCAGGTAGCACTCAGTACAGACTTCCTATGGGAGGTTTATCTCCTGTATGAAAGGTAGCTCTTAGGTTTCGGATCAAGGAGCAACACTACTCAGTGTACTTTCTTAAGTTAATTGTTTCATACTTATATAGAGGCTATGCTCCCAAAAAGGGAGATATTTGAAAAATAACAGGTGATCACTGAATACAACTGGGTACCAAGTGATGGTACTGAATCGGCAACTGTTACATGGCCCTGTGAATACTAATCATGCTAATGTCCTGTCAATGGCAGTCATCTTTCTTCTGACAACCGATCATAAAATTCATATTTCACAATCCAATACTTTTTGGGAAGAGTATGTAAAAGATGGAGTTATGTCTCCCCCAGAATGGAGGGAGACATATTGTTTTTGGCATGGTTCCCGTCGGCGTCGGGGTCGGCGTTCCCACCATTTCCTGACCATAACTCAGAAACCGTTTAATATTTTTTCGCGAAACTTTGTATACACATTAACCCAGCACTGAAGTGGTGCCTTTTGCTATTTAGAGATTTTTGACATTTTTATTTTTTCTCGTTTCCATGGAGAGAACTTGAACATAGGCTCTGAATGGGGGTAAGCTTTGTTTCCTGACCATAACTCAGAAACCGTTTAATATTTTTTCGTGGAACTTTGTATACACATTAACCCAGCACTGAAGTGGTGCCTTTTGCTATTTAGAGATTTTTGACATTTTTATTTTTTCTCGTTTCCATGGAGATAACTTGAACATAGGCTCTGAATGGGGGTAAGCTTTGTTTCCTGACCATAACTCAGAAACCGTTTAATATTTTTTCGTGGAACTTTGTATACACATTAACCCAGCACTGAAGTGGTGCCTTTTGCTATTTAGAGATTTTTGACATTTTTATTTTTTCTCGTTTCCATGGAGATAACTTGAACATAGACTCTGAATGGGGATGAGCTTGGTTTCCGGACCATAACTCTGAAATCGTTTAATATTTTTTCGCGAAACTTTGTATACACATTAACCCAGCACTGAAGTGGTGCCTTTTGCTATTTAGAGATTTTTGACATTTTTATTTTTTCTCGTTTCCATGGAGATAACTTGAACATAGACTCTGAATGGGGGTAAGCTTGGTTTCCGGACCATAACTGGGAAACCATTTAATATTTTTTCGCGAAACTTTATATACACATTAACCCAGCACTGAAGTGGTGCCTTTTGCTATTTAGAGATTTTTGACGTTTTTATTTTTTCTCGTTTCCATGGAGATAACTTGAACATAGGCTCTGAATGGGGGTAAGCTTTGTTTCCTGACCATAACTCAGAAACCGTTTAATATTTTTTCGCGAAACTTTGTATACACATTAACCCAGCACTGAAGTGGTGCCTTTTGCTATTTAGAGATTTTTGACATTTTTATTTTTTCTCGTTTCCATGGAGATAAGTTGAACAAAGCTCTGAATGGGGGTAAGCTTTGTTTCCTGACCATAACTCAGAAACTGTTTAATATTTTTTCGCGAAACTTTGTATACACATTAACCCAGCACTGAAGTGGTGCCATTTGCTATTTAGAGATTTTTGACATTTTTATTTTTTCTCGTTTCCATTGAGATAAGTTGAACAAAGCTCTGAATGGGGGTAAGCTTTGTTTCCTGACCATAACTCAGGCGTTGGCGTCGGCGTTCCCACCGTTTCCGGACAATAACTCAGAAACCGTTTAATATTTTTTTCGCGAAACTTTGTATACACATTAACCCAGCACTGAAGTGGTGCCCATTAGTTGTTTGAAATTTCTAGGAGTTCTATTTTTGTCTCTGTTATTTAGTAATGGAAGATGGGAATGAAGAGATGGGGTTTAACGTGAAGTAAACGAATGAATGGGGGTTAGGGGAGTGGGGGGAGACATATGTTTTTACGAGTAAAAACACTTTCTAGTGTGAGTTTGGTTTTACGCTGCTTTTAGCAATATTCCAGCAATATCACGGCGGGGGACACCAGAAATGGGCTTCACACATTGTACACATGTCGGGATTCGAACCCGGGTCTTCGGCGTGACGAGCGAACGCTTTAACCACTAGGCTGCACGACCGTCCCTGTAAGCCAAACTCATTTTGAAAATTGAAAAGCTTGAAAGTTCAAACTTGCACTTGTAATTCATCTTTTCAGCACTGAACTCGGAAAATGAAATCCTCAAAACCTTGTTATTTTGAGTCCTGACTTTCAAAGTTACGAATATCACCCACTGCAGAAAACAGAAAGATGTTGCTAATGATGACAGTTTTACATTTTGACCTATCAAATTTGGAAATTACAAAAGGTTGAGTTTATGGTTTTTATATCTTTTAAAGCAAAAGTAAAAAAAATTGAACATAACAAGAATTGTGAGCTTTTGAGTTATTCATATGATAGTGAGTAATAATGAAAGCTTTTTTGTCAAAAGAACACTGATCAAAACTGTTTAGGCTAAAACAATTTAACTAGCGAACACGTTTTCAGTGGTAGTGTGATGTAGAAGGCATCTAGCTCTAGCTGTCTTCTGCACTGTATTATGGGCCCTACCTTCAGGTATTCCTTCATTATTATTTTATTTATTTTCCAGGAAATGAAATCCTTGCGACACAAGGCAACCCTGTTCCTCTTCAATATTTCCGTCTTCATGTTTGCCGTGTATCTTTTCTTCCGCCACAACGCCTACTGTGAACCTGGAGGTAAGGGCAGATAACTCTGTATGAATGTGTGGATATCAATGTACAAATCTGTCAAAAATTTACATTAACCTTCAATCCTCTGTATTTCTTAGACCGCCTCCATGGTCTAATGGTAGAGCGTCCACCTGGAGAGTGGAAGGTCCGGGGGTTCGTTTCCCGGCCACGTCATACTAAAAGACATTTAAAGATGGTACTTGTTGTTACCCTGTCTGGCGCTCAGCATTAAGGGGCTAAAACAAGGACTAGTCGGCTCAGAGTCAGTATACTGTGTCTGAGTGAGGTATTCATGTTAAACTGTGGCATGGTATCTCAGTGGGCTGGCAGTATAAATCGGTATTAGTCCAGACTAGTACAAGCAGCCACACATACACCACACACACACACACGTGCATGCATGTCACTATATGAGTGCAATAATCTTATATCTTATCTTAATCTTTACCCCATTTCACCTCGCCACCTTTATTTCTCATACTCCACAAATGTTGAAGCTGTTGATAAGATATTCCTGTAGATGACTCACCAATCTATCAAATTGTTTGTTTGTTGTTTAACGCCGCATTCAGCAATATTCCAGCTATATGATGGCAGCCTGTAAATAATCAAGTCTGGACCAGACTTTCCAGTGATCAATATTGTGAGCAATGATCCATGATATCAGGTACAATGACACGTCATCAATCGAGTCACCGCTTCTGACAGCCCGATTAATTTGGTCGCCCATCACAACAAGCATAGGATGATGGGGACCAATTCAAACCCAGACTCCCCACATGGCAACACATGTCAAGACACAACAAGTCTCTATCCAGACAGCCTGGTTTGTGAAGATTACAAAGAGATCCTCTCTTAGCCTTTAGGGGCAGTCGGGTAGCCTAGTGGTTAAAGCGTTCGCATGTCACGCCAAAGACCCGGGTTCGAATCCCGACATTGGTACAATGTGTGAAGCCCATTTCTGGTGTCCCCCGCCGTGATATTGCTGGAATATTGCTAAAAATGGTGTAAAACCAAACTCACTCACTCACTCATTAGCCTTTAATGTCTGTCTTTGAAAGGGGTTGGGAGTTTGTGCTTTTTCACACCATACAAGTTAAAAAAAACATGTTAAATTTGTTGTCTGTGATCGAGCAGTAGTGCACAAAGTTAGTTCAAATTTCAGTAAAACTTACCCTTTTTCGATAATAGTTACTTTTACCACTTCCATGCCTATGTACACCGATAAGAAGCCAAAAGTGCCGAGGCTGCTGGTAGTGAAGGAGCGGCACTCAGGTGTAGCATCAGTCTCGTTGTCCTCGTCTGGATCAGCATCGTTGCATGAGTCATAGCTTGGATAATAGATTCACTAACATTATCTAAATCCGTTTTACTCATTTCTCAATTTTCATATTTCAACGGCAGTCACATGAGAACATTTCAGTAACTTGCTGCCAATGTGTACACAGTAATCAGCTTGCATCTCATCTTCCTGAGGCAAGGGCGTTAACTGACTAGAGTCCAGTTTCCATCCTTGCCGAACTAGGCTGGAATTGCCAGGCTTGATCGTAGCACCACCAGTGGATATTACAAGGTGTGTCCCTTCCACATCCTTCCCCTTGACCAATAAGATTCCATCGCTCATATCTCTTGCATTAGCTTTAAACAAAATGGTGGCGCCCATTCAAGATGATCTTATCGATAATCAATAAAGGGTCTTACCCCACAAAGTGCGAACATGAAAAGATTTGTAAAATATCTGTCGACGCCAAGTTTGTGGAACACATGCTTTGAAATCTCCACTTTGAAATCCATGTTGTTTGCCAACCGGACATCTAGTTCATTACGTGGCTTTGATTGGACTATGCATAGGCTCGTTAGTCCAGCCAAAATGTAACTGCAGAATTCCAGGCAAGTTCAGCAAGGGTGAAAACAGGACTTTTACAGTCAGTTAACTCCCTTGCCTCAGGAAGATGCTTGCACCTTTGATGTGCTGGTTATTTAGGCTAAATGGATATTGGCATGTTGGTAGAAAGCACCCTTCTTTGATGTCATTACGGCAATCGCAGTAAGGTCATTTGTATGTGAAGTATATTCAAAGTTGAAAGTTTTGCGAGTATTGGTGTGTGGATGTTATTCTTTATTTTGAGCTGTTTGAGTCAAAAGGGGGATTTTATGCTTAATTTGGATACTTGGGACTCCCAAACCAGGATTTCGACACATCCAGGTGGACAGATCCAAGTACAGTGGAATCTGTCCTTTTTGGACTTGGTTGGGACCAGTGTAAAAGTATTGTTTATCGCAAGTACAAAACGTAAGACTGAAGACCAAACAAAAAGCAAAGATCATTCATCTTTAGTCACATACACTGAACAAAATAATGATGTTGTTGTTGCATTAAGTGTTTAGGAGGTCGCCTTCTGCCTAGGCAATTTCGGCCGACCTGTCCCTCTTTGGGACTCCTGTGTGTGAGTAGGGTACACCTATCTATTGTGAGTTTGGTGTTCAAATAATTTCTGGTTTTGTATTGATATGATTTCTATTTTCTTATATTGATATGATTTCATTTCTATCCTTGGCTGCTCTGTTTATATACGTTCGAGTAGCTGTCCATCTCTCAGAAATAGAGTTAGTGTAGCCTTCGCTATTGCATCTCTTGGCTTTAGGAGATCTATGACAGGTAGCGGATCTAACTGCAATTCTTGTTTTAACCTAGCCCGGGCTGGGGCACAAAATAATGACATGGATTGGCATTAAATACACATTTTTTCTGCCTGATTTAAATTCCTCAATTAAAGCAACTTAGCAAGTGAAAGTTTGATGCGCTTTTTCTGTACCAGTCGCTAAGCCATTGTGATTGATAATGCCAAACTGTGTTTACCGTTATTTATTGACATGCTCATGACACTTAGTGAATCTAATTAAGCTAAGTTTCTCATTAACAAGTAATTAAATTCTAATTAACCAAATGGACAACAAAGTGTTAAGATCAATAGGATTACATGCAGGATTAGCAGTGTTGTTTGAGCTGACAATGACTGAGCTTACTTCCAAGTGAGAGAAAATCCGGTCTGATCTGGTCCGGTCAGGTCCGGTCTGGTCCAGTCCGATTTAGACCGCTTCTTTTCAATAGTAAATAGTTTATTGGACAAGCCCGTAGTGTAAAACATACACTGTGGTAGTGAAGTAGTGAGCTTTAGGTCAGTTTGAGTAATGATAATGTAATAAGGAACGGAGGGGACTGGAGAAAAAGTCTGGTTTTAATCAAAATCTGAATTTGACAGAGTCTGATTTGCACAGATTCCACTGTGTACATGATTATAGATATAAAAGGAGTTTGCAGGCTTCAAATGGGGAGTTTCAGACAACCAGGAATTTAACATGAGGTTTGATTATGTATAGAAAATACATCTAAATCACTCTTTAGGGAACGGGCGGTCGGGTAGCCTAGTGGTTAAAGCGTTCGCTCGTCACGCCGAAGACCCGGGTTCGATTCCCGACATGGGTACAATGTGTGAAGCCCATTTCTGGTGTCCCCCGCTGTGATATTGCTGGAATATTGCTAAAAGCGGCGTAAAACCATACAAACACACTCACTCACTTTAGGGAATAATTCTGCAGACAGACAACCATTGATAGCACGGTGGCGCGTGGCACGTGGTCCTGTGCACAGCGCACAGATCACAGATCAGGTGAAGTTAAGCAACGTCAGTCTTGGCGAGTAGTTGGATGTGTGACCACGTTCAGCAGCTTGACTCCTGAGAGTTTCTAGGGCTTCGGTCCTGCCCCACACTGAAGCACATGTACCTCATGTGGTGTCTCCTTAGGCAAGTGACTTTGTTCGACATGTGCCTCTGTTCACCCAGCAGTGAGTGGGTACCCGGTAGGATGAGATGGTAATGTGGCTGTTAACCTTCTAGCACCTCACAGGCAGCTTGGATTGTATACTCCCCAGGGAGCTGATAATGAAAATCAAGTGCTCACTGATCCATTGACCGGGGTAATAATAGTGTAGCGCTATGAGCATCCACTTGGTGAATGGAATCTGGCGCAATATAAATACATTATTATTATTATTATTATTATTATTATTATTATTATTATTACAAGCTGAGTAATGTGATCATGGTGGTGAATGGTTAGTGCCCACATTGCATCTAAGATGAAAGGCTTAGCAGTATCCATTGATAATTGTTGAGGTCAGTTGTCAGGAATCATGTGCACTTATGCCCCGGCTCCTGAAGTAATTCGACCGCCTCCGCGGTCTAGTGGTAGAGCGTCCACCCGGAGAGCGGAAGGTCCAGGGTTCCATCCCTGGCCGCGTCATACCAAAAGACGTTAAAAGATGGTACTTGTTGTTACCCTGTCTGGCGCTCAGCATTAAGGGGTTAAAGCAAGGACTGGTCGGCTCGGAGTCAGTATACTGTGTCTGAGTGGGGTATTCATGTTAAACTGCGCCATGGTATCTCAGTGGGCTAGCACTATGAATCGGCATCAGTCCGGTCTAGTACAAGCAGCCACACACACACACACGTGCATGTACATCGCTATATAAGTGCAATAATCTTGGACGCGATGTTAAACCCAATTTCACCTCACCTCACCTCACCTGAAGTAGTTCATTTTGCAAATACAAGTTCAGTGATGATACAGAACAGAGCCTTCAAGTCCAGCTCGGACATGTTTATTCAGTTTGTCGAGAGCTGAATTCCAAATGCCTGCCCTTAGTTCTTTGCTGTGGCAATACAGTGTCAAGACATGATTGCTCCTTGTCAAATCAAATCAGGTTTATTTTGGTTTTGGGACATAGGCCCATGTACAGTACAGTACATCACAGTCATTTATTCAAGAGAGTAGCACACATTCAAACTAAATACCTAGCATTATTGAACAATGATTGCTTATAGGTTAGGGCTTTCTTGACTTATCTTGAACAATTTTCTAATCGTCATTTACAGTTGCAGTGTAATAGCTTTGTATTTAACAACATTTAAACCACTTTCAAAGATAGGCAAATTCATAACATGTTATGAATTATAAGTTTCATATTCAAACAATAAATGGAGTTCTTCCTTGATATATCTGCTGTCATACATTTTACATATAGGTCTTCAGCAACCCATGCTTGCCATAAAAGGTTACTATGCTTGTTATAAGGTGACTAACTGGATTTTCTGGTTCAGACTCGATTATTTACAGATCGCCGTCATATAGCTGGAATATTGCTGAGTGCGGCAACAAATGAACAGACAAACAAACAACACATACCACTTAACCATACAAAATCTTTGCTTTTGTTATTACTTAAGGCTTGACTTAAGGTATGAAGTGCAAACTGTATGAATCCGTGTAGAAGATTCTTTCAAAAGTTTGCACATCGGTTTTTCAATTCATACCTCGATGAATCGAAAATATACACAGTCAATCCTGAGGATAAATTTGACAATGAAAGTGTATTATCTAGAATAGTTTAATAAGGAACAATTATATGAATCAAAGCAGACAAAAATGAGGAGGTTGATAAACATTCAAGGCGTAGGAATACCTACTTTGGCGTGACATGAATCAGGTGTTTGTTTATTTTTTGCACATAACTTGACACACCAACAAAGTCAGTAACCAATCAATGGAGAGTAACGTCAAATGAAATTCATATAGGTCTCTGTAATTTACAATTGTCCATAGGTTACAGATTTTAAATAACAATCAACATGTATTAGATAGCATTACTTGAAGCACGTTTACCAACTCCCAGTACATATTTTCAGAAATTTGTATGAAATCTATTAACAACTTTTTTTTGTTGAAAGCCCCAGACTTCAGCTCCATATTATGATACTGGCCTTATCTTGCTATCAAATGTTTTTAAAAGTACATTAACAGGCAAATTTGTAAATTTACTGTCTAGCTTTTATAACTAAAGTACTCATGGAAATGAAGAAAACTGTTTTGCTGGATTTAATAATCGACACAAAGCATTACGTAGATGTAAATACGAAATAACAAAACAACTGGAAAAGTACTAGTCTGGATTTGCTAGTTTTATCTCAGTGCTCAATACAAAATGTACTTTTCAGGAGGTAATTTGTAGGCACTTTCAACATTCAAAAATAAAACTAAGTCCAAATTGACATGGCAGAAACAGGCTATAGGCATTATGCAAATTAGCCTGGAAAAAAGTTATCAAAACAACGATAAAATTAACAGCTATGTTTATGTACATAATAATAATAACATGTAAGTTGTTGTTTGAGAAGGGAATATATTACTTTTACGTTCTGATATTTTGACGATGATTCACTATCCCACAATGCCACTCACAAATCACTAACCACTGACAAATCACATGCACCTGGATTTCATGCACCTGTTTTCACCTGTCGTCAAGGTGTCATAGGTCATGGACATTCACCTTGATCTACTAACACCTGGTTATGCTCAGTTTCACTCCATAAATGATATTCGGGTCAGGCCAGGTCTCCATTAACATCGACCTCCACACACCATGTAAATAATTTAAACACGAAATCAACTCAGTATTCCAGTGACGTCCCTACGTATACGCAATGCACGCTTAGTTAATATCTGGGCAATATCCGTATGTATTGGATGACAATAGTTCCGTCAAAGTGTTATGTTCACTGCAATGAAAATATCACTTTTCTCAACTTCAGAAAACTGTATATACACCTGACTAAGGACGGATGGGGTTTAGGGATTTGATAGATGGAGGTTTTGGTGATATGTTTGCTTCTAGCCTGAGGCTGAAATAGCGACCTGCTTACATATTGACCAATATTCGGAACTGTCTTTGTGTTGTGTGTATCTCAGCCTGAGCAATGTATTGTCCTTCCTGTTATGAATTACGTTGGCCATATTGTTTTGGAGGTAAAAGGGATAATTAAGTAAATTTTGTTTTCTTAAGACAGTATACATCTTTCAGTAGTTGACTTATTACATGTTGTAGTTACATTGTTGTTTTTTAGAATTTTTTTCCACGAAATGAGATAAATTTATTGTGTAATAAAATAGTTCATAGACAGTTATGTTATATTTTGTATTACTTATTTCATAATATTGAGGAATGTTCTAAGAGATACCCCATAGTTCATTGACCTTACTGTTTGTGACCCCCCTTCACCCCTTGTTTGTTTCCAGCCTGATGGTAACAATGGCATGGAAGATCCATAAAACAAGAAATATATTTTGCCCTACCACAGAAAGTTTGATAGTGATAACCATCAGAGGATTCTTGGTCACCAAGTAAACACCCCAAGTAAACACCCCAAGTAAACACCCCAAGTGAACACCCCAAGTAAACACCCCAAGTAAACACCCCAAGTGAACACCCCAAGTAAACACCCCAAGTGAACACCCCAAGTAAACACCCCAAGTGAACACCCCAAGTGAACACCAAGTACCCAGTTTGCCTTCAGAAACCCCAAGGGCCGCTGTTATCCCACCTATAGAAATTGGCACTAGTCCTACAGTTCTTTCCAAACTGCCCAATAGTTAAGTTATCATAAGGATAGTAGAGATTTTTGTTATCATAAGGATAGTAGAGATTTTTGTTATCATAAGGATAGTAGAGATTTTTGCTGGAGGTTTTTGGTATATGTTACTATACATCTTCCCGAGGCAAGAGAGTTAACTGACTTTAAAAGTCCAGTTTCCACCCTTGCCGAACTAGGCTGGAATTCCTGGGCTCGATCGTAGCGCCACCAGTGGCTATTACGAGTAATGTTCTTTCTATGCCTCTCCTATTGACCAATCAGATTCAACCTCTAGTATTACTAGCATTTGCCCAGTCAAGACGATCTGATCGATAATCAAGATCTATATTGTGATCAAATGAGTCTTACATCGCGAAGTGCATCAAATCACGTGAGCACCTTGATCAAAAACAAGAAAAGATATAGAAAATATTTGTTGACAACGAGCTAGCTTTTACTTAGTGTGCGACTGTGATCGATACTTGTATGGAGAAGTAAAAAATCGAATATTTATGAATGAATATGCAGTCATGTGCATTTACATACCCTGTACCTAAAACATCCATAAGAACATATGATACGCATAGATTTCTTTAAAGACAACACTCTTATAATAATTTGACAGGAATTTGGTCACTGGTCATTGTAGCATTTGAGCAGATACTGAGACTAAGTACCTGGACAAGTGCAGTACCGGTATATAAATGTATAATATAGATAATTAACAAACCATGTCAAATAATTTATGTTGTTAATGTTTCACTGAATATAACAAATAATACATCAACTGCTGACTTATTATTGTATTCGTGAATTAATATTCGTATTCATTACCCTATATTCGTGATACGAATCGTATTCGCCTCATGGGTTACTGCCTTTTCTTAAAAAAGGGAAACCAAATATTATATGCTCTGATAATTTATTTATTACTGGTTATGTAGTGTTCATGAAGAGTGAGTGAGTGACTTGGGTTTAACACCGCTTTGAACGGTATTCCAGTTATATCCCAGCATGTCAGCTTGATGTGGGAGGAAGCCCTGAAGTGTGTAACCATGAAGTGTGTCATGTTTTTAATCTTGAATAACTGCCAAATCCTAAATTAGGGTTATCTTGACCAACCAGTGTATACCGTATATGACTGTAGATAAGCCATATTTTTAGGACCAGAAAAAATATACTTTAGAAAGGGGTTGGCTTATGTATGGGTTACACTTTCACCAAACTCTCTTTCTGTTGGTAAAAAAACTACATTGTATAGCTTCAGGTGAATGAACAATGCTATAACTAACTTTGTAAATTTGTGATTAAACATTGCTAGAAGAATATATCGCTATATGCAGGGATAAAGATTACCTTGTCAATTGTCTCGTAAACTAAGCCGTACATGAACTGTGATTTTCACTTGATGAGAAGATACGCCTCCCAGTCTTCAGCAGCCCATGCTTGCCGTAAAAGACGACTAAGCTCGTTGTAAGAGGCGACTAAAGGAATCGGGTGGTTGGGTGATGCATGTTATCATATCCCAATTGCGTGGATCGATGCTCATTATGTCAATCACTGGATTGCCTGGGCCCACTTGCACAAAGCGATCATTGCGCTAAGATGATCGTAACTCCCATACTTTAACATAGGCTTACAACAGTCGTAGCACTAAGATCCAGACTAGGATATTTACAGACCGCCGTCATATAGCTGGAATATTGCTGAGTGCTGCGTTAAACAAACTAACAAATGTATCGTATTGTGATTCAAGCATCGCAGATTGTATCGAATGTAACCCCTAATGTTTATTTTATTTACCTTGTGTGATTTAAAAAGGCATTTTTTAGCATGAATAATCAGAAAGAACAACTTATAGATGCTGAAAGAAACAAATGTTTGCTGTGTTTGTGGTTCTTGTGGCACTATATCATCACGCACATCAGTCCTTTATGTTGTTGAGATCTTTTAGGAGTCTTCTTTTTTCTTTCAGTGTACACGGGTTTCGCTGCATGTGAATATCTCACAGTCTTATCTAACATTGCCTTCCATTTAACGGCAGTATTTGATTTTGAAGACTTTAATCTAGTGTTGGCACAAAAGGATGTTGTCGCCAAATTAGAAAGAAAACATATTTAAAGAATATAATGTACTAGTGCAGCCTATTTATCAGATTGGATTATATTTTAATCATATTTTTGGCTTTAGCTATGTTTGTTGTTTAACGCTGCTGTTGGTCGCCGCTTACAACAAGCATAGATGAAACAAAGGGATTGAACTTGGGATGTTATTGTTTTTGATGATTTTTTTACAATGAAGTCAAATGTACTTTCAATTATATCTACATTTATCCTTGGGATGTTATTGTTTTTGATGATTTTTTTACAATGAAGTCAAATGTACGTTCAATTATATCTACATTTATCCTTGTGCATGAAGTCATTGTGTCATATGTTAATTAGAACCTAGCATCCCTGTAGTGGCCGAGCTATTTTGTTTTTATTGAAACCCAGCAGAGTGTATGAATTTCCTGTCAGTGCCTGTGCCAGCCTAGGTCTTGTGATTGTATTATGTGCCTTGTATCAAACTGTGAAATTGTCTTTTTGTCATTGGAGCTAAAATCATCTTCCTGAGTCAAGGGAGTTAACTGACGGTAAAAGTCCAGTCTCCGACCACAATAGTTATGTTAACCCATCTTCCTGAGTCAAGGGAGTTAACTGACGGTAAAACTCCAGTCTCCACCCACAATAGTTATGTTAACCCATCTTCCTGAGTCAAGGGAGTTAACTGACGGTAAAAGTCCAGTCTCCACCCACAATAGTTATGTTAACCCATCTTCCTGAGTCAAGGGAGTTAACTGACGGTAAAAGTCCAGTCTTCACCCACAATAGTTATGTTAACCCATCTTCCTGAGTCAAGGGAGTTAACTGACGGTAAAAGTCCAGTCTCCACCCACAATAGTTATGTTAACCCATCTTCCTGAGGCAAGGGACTTAACTGAGATATTATAAGTTGGTCAATCAAGGATGGGATGAAGCAGGGTAAGGCAACTCATTTGGATTATTCAGTTTACAAATTGGAGTGACCAAAGCCCACACTACAAAAATAAAGAAACAGTTTTACATTTAATTGTCCAGCTCAATCACTGGATAATATAGAACATGGCTTCACCGAAAATAGTCTTTTGTTTAGCCAAGCATTTTATCAACCCTCCATGTCAGAATGAGAGATCTTATTGGTCCACATGATCTTGGTAAAATATTGTGTAACCCGCCTTGGAGGGTAATAAATTTCTCAGAGGGGAATAAGTCCCTTATACACGGCCTCATGCAATACAGGCTGCACATGGATTCTGAGAGACAGAATAAGTCCCTTATACCCGGCCTCGTGCAATACAGGCTGCACATGGATTCTGAGAGACAGAATAAATCCCTTATATCCGGCCTCGTGCAATACAGGCTGCACACGGATTCTGAGAGACAGAATAACTCCCTTATACCCGGCCTCGTGCAATACAGGCTGCACACGGATTCTGAGAGACAGAATAAGTCCCTTATACCTGGCCTCGTGCAATACAGGCTGCACATGGATTCTGAGAGACAGAATAAGTCCCTTATACCCGGCCTCGTGCAATACAGGCTGCACATGGATTCTGAGAGACAGAATAAATCCCTTATACCTGGCCTCGTGCAATACAGGCTGCACACGGATTCTGAGAGACAGAATAAATCCCTTATACCTGGCCTCGTGCAATACAGGCTGCACACGGATTCTGAGAGACAGAATAAATCCCTTATACCTGGCCTCGTGCAATACAGGCTGCACACGGATTCTGAGAGACAGAATAAATCCCTTATACCTGGCCTCGTGCAATACAGGCTGCACACGGATTCTGAGAGACAGAATAAATCCCTTATATCCGGCCTCGTGCAGTACAGGCTGCACACGGATTCTGAGAGACAGAATAAATCCCTTATACCTGGCCTCGTGCAATACAGGCTGCACATGGATTCTGAGAGACAGAATAAATCCCTTATATCCGGCCTCGTGCAATACAGGCTGCACATGGATTCTGAGAGACAGAATAAATCCCTTATATCCGGCCTCGTGCAATACAGGCTGCACATGGATTCTGAGAGACAGAATAAATCCCTTATATCCGGCCTCGTGCAGTACAGGCTGCACACGGATTCTGAGAGACAGAATAAATCCCTTATACCCGGCCTCGTGCAATACAGGCTGCACACGGATTCTGAGAGACAGAATAAATGCCTTATACCCCGCTTTAAAGCAAAAACCTACATGCTTTTTCCGAGTCAATGGAAGATAAATTTCTTGTAGCAGGATCATTTGGCGTACATGGGGTTTTATGAGTCCTTGTTAGGTTTTATAACCTCACTTCCGCCTGGTGGTATAAAACCCCATGTACCTGTCGTGATCCTGCTACAACTTATATTGTGCTTCATGTGTGGCAGTTCTTCTGGACTCAGGGTCGGAGGTGGACTGATGATGGTTTACAGTGCAAGACTGACCCACCCTGAGCACAATCTACACATTTGTTTTTTGAAGATGATATTATTTATACACAATCTTTTTAATTGCATGACACTAATAGAAGCATAATCTATTTATCATTGTTTGTTGTTGCTGTTACTTGTTGCTTCCAAAGTTTCCTCAAATGTTGCTTCCACTGTTGCTTGCAAGAGCAGCTGAAAATGATAAGAGACGTCATGACATATTTTTACAATTTTTGTTATAAGTTTTACAATATGTAGGAATACAAGTGATACCCTGTTTTGTACATTTTGTTGGATGTATTTGAACTGTTCATATTTTAATACAGAGCCTCAAGGTATCACCTGGCCAAACTGGTCATGTGGCCAATGTTTCCATGTTTCCTGGGAAACAGAAAACTTCAGTGTTGTAGTACTGTTTTAACAATATTTTCATTCTTATTGAAATAATCAAATTAAGAACAATCGTACTGATGGAAAGACATAAGGGAATGGACATTTCTCCGAAAAAAATAACCTTGGGTCATCTGCTAGGTCACCTAAAACATTGGACCCCAGGTTATCTCCTGGGACACCAAAAACCTCAGGTCATCTCCTGGGACACCAAAAACCTCAGGTCATCTCCACGGACACCAAAAACCTCAGGTCATCTCCTGGGACACCAAAAACCTCAGGTCATCTCCTGGGACACCAAAAACCTGAGGTCATCTCCTGGGTCACCAAAAACCTCAGGTCATCTCCTGGGTCACCAAAAACCTTAGGTCATCTCCTGGGACACCAAAAACCTCAGGTCATCTCCACGGACACCAAAAACCTCAGGTCATCTCCTGGGTCACCAAAAACCTGAGGTCATCTCCTGGGACACCAAAAACCTCAGGTCATCTCCACGGACACCAAAAACCTCAGGTCATCTCCTGGGACACCAAAAACCTCAGGTCATCTCCTGGGACACCAGAAACCTCAGGTCATCTCCTGGGTCACCAAAAACCTGAGGTCATCTCCTGGGACACCAAAAACCTCAGGTCATCTCCACGGACACCAAAAACCTCAGGTCATCTCCTGGGACACCAAAAACCTCAGGTCATCTCCTGGGTCACCAAAAACCTTAGGTCATCTCCTGGGACACCCAAAACCTCAGGTCATCTCCACGGACACCAAAAACCTCAGGTCATCTCCACGGACACCAAAAACCTCAGGTCATCTCCTGTGTCACCAAAACCTCAGATCATCTCCTGGGTCACCAAAAACCTGAGGTCATCTCCTGGGTCACCAAAAACCTGAGGTCATCTCCTGGGACACCAAAAACCTCAGGTCATCTCCTGGGACACCAAAAACCTCAGGTCATCTCCTGGGACACCAAAAACCTCAGGTCATCTCCTTGGACAAAAAGACCTCAGGTCATCTCCTGGGACACAGTCCCCATGGGTCAAAAACATTTTGTTCCTACCAGTTCCCTTAATTCTTTCCATCAGTATACCTTCTGCTGACAATAAATGTTGATATCGAGCATGACAGGCAAGCATATTGCCGGCAGCATTAACTGACTCACCTTTTGTATGCAATTGCCCTGTGAATCATCTCAAGCTATGTTAGCTTATAATACCCAACAGTTGCCTTGTTTATATATGTTTGTAAGATCCAGTCATGAAGTATAACCAGTGCTATATATTGTTGTATTTTCCGAATTATATTGTAGCCATAATTAATCACTGGGTCACTGCCATAATCACTTACTGGTACTGTCAAATATTAACTGTGAAGGATGTTAGCAATATTCATAACAATATCCTTGTCTTGGGATAAGATCATGTGAGAGATTATGGCAATAAGGGTGCATGAGGAATGGACGGGGTAGGATATTATTTTTGTTATTATTCCTGTGAGAATAAACATATTGGCAATAGTCTTGGTGTCCACTGTATTTATCCACACATCCTAACAGAACACTGGACACATGTCCTAAGGTACCGACCATTTGACAGTGTTTGATATTTGTTGGGGGGGGGGGGGGGGGGGGGGGTTCTGGAATATTACCCCCCCCCAAAAAAAAAACATTTGTCCCTAACAATTCTTAAAAAAAATATTTTGAAAAAGAAAGAAATTGCCTGCCACAAAAATTACATTTCAGAAACATTCAGGCTCACATTTTTATATGAAAATAATATCTGATTATGTAACTGTAGCTGTTTAAATATCTAATCTCGATACAAAATCCCGACACAAAATCCCAGGCCCCCGCCCCCAATATCAAATGGTCGGTCCGTAAGGGCAACTCTACATACAGGAGTTTGTCAATGCATGGACCCACGTCCTAAGGGCAACTCAACATACAGGAGTTTGTCAGTGAATGGACCCACGTCCTAAGGGCAACTTTACATACAGGAGTTTGTCAATGTATGGATCCACGTCCTAAGGGCAACTCTACATACAGGAGTTTGTCAATGTATGGACCCACGTCCTAAAGGCAACTCTACATACAGGAGTTTGTCAATGCATGGACCCATGTCCTAAAGGCAACTCTACATACAGGAGTTTGTCAATGCATGGACCCACGTCCTAAGGGCAACTCAACATACAGGAGTTTGTCAATGCATGGACCCACGTCCTAAGGGCAACTCTACATATCGGAGTTTGTCAATGCATGGACCCACGTCCAAAGGGCAACTCTACATACAGGAGTTTGTCAATGCATGGACCCACGTCCTGAGGGCAACTCTACATATAGGAGTTTGTCAATGCATGGACCCACGTCCTAAGGGCAACTCTTCTTATGGGAGTGTCATATCATATCATGATATGATATATAATGCTTATAAGGAGCTTGTCACTACCACGTCACATGTCCAAAACACAGTTACGTGTGAAGAAGCTTGTATTAAACTTTTTAAAACATTTTTAATGAATTTCCGATCTACACAATTTTGTTAAAATACACACCTGCACATTATGTTATAAACAAATAAACAATATCAATCAAATACATAACCTCATGAGTCATGATACACAATTCTTTCATTACGTACTCAAATACACAATATTCGTGCAGGCACTGTAGATTTCCAGATTAGAACAGGGGGTATTCTTAACTTTTTATAGAATTTTCTCTGACTTAAGACCTCTTTAGCACTCTAAGAATTGAATACCACCCCAGGGTGCCGTTTCACGAAAGCCTCTTAGCGCTACGACCTCCTAAACCATGTCGTAAAGCACCTCTTAAATATTTGTGCCGTTTCACAAAGACCTCCTAACTTTACACCCCACTGTAAACAACCTCCTAACCTACGATAGGTATGGGGCACTTGTAACTAGCTTACGACATCCTAAGTCAGCATCTGATATGGCGACACTATTGAGAATCAAAGAAATTTTGAACAGGAGAAAAATTAGGCAAGAGCGAATATTCAGGGATAGGACTCAAGTGTTGGATACTTTGACCGACACAGAACTGATTGCCAGGTATCGCTTCCCTCGGCCTACCATCCTACAGCTGGTTGATCGGGTCAGCTCGGATATCTCTCGGCCGACCCAACGTTCGCGTGCCTTACCTGTCCATGTTCAGGTGTTAGTAACGCTTAGATACTTTTCAAAAGGGGGATTCCTAAGCGAATTAGGAGATATACATGGTATTGCCAAATCAAGTGTTTGTCGCGTGTTGGAAAAGACGACAGATGCAATCGTAAAGTCGTATGACTTGATCCGGTTTCCAACGCCCGACAAACACGCTAAACTAGCGGAGGATTTCTTCCACATCTGTGGTTTTCCGAAAGTTGTTGGCTGCATAGATTGTACTTTGACACCTATTTAACGATCAGCATTAGATGAAGCAGTATATGTGTGCAGAAAAGGATTCCACGCCATCAATGTGCAAGCTGTGTGCGACGCCCAACTCCGGTAAATATCCTTGACGTCCTTGACCCTTGCAATGTAAACAAACAATCTAGACTTGCTGGTACTTTCAGATAATAAACGTCATTGTGTCATAATTGATTTGTCAATAGCTCATGTAGGCTTATTTATGTCCAAATGTTTCATAATTATTCGGCTTATTTAAATATTATTTTCTTAACGAATGTGGACTTGTGGATTTAGTTATTTATGTATGTATTTATTTATTTTTGCAGATTCACAAACATTATTGTCCAATGGCCAGGATCAACCCATGATTCACATATTTTCAACAACTGCAATTTGAAAAGGCATCTGGAGGAAGGGAAATATGACATCTGGCTTCTTGGTGATTCAGGGTAGGTACATGTATGTCCAAGTTATTTATGTCATGTTTGTCTTTTAAAGTATACATACATATATATCGGGAACATTAATTTATCAAAACATTCTACATTAGGTATGCCTGTAGACCCTACCTCCTGACACCTGTCAACAACCCTGCAAATGAAAAAGAGGAGAAATACAACCGCTGTCATATTGGAACAAGGAACTCAGTTGAGAGGGCATTTGGATTGTGCAAATCTAGATTCAGGTAAATATTTAATTCATGGAAGGTTTATGTTTTAATTCAAGGTTTTGCTGAAGTAACTGGACTAATGAGCATGTGTATTGCTGATTGTATGTCATTCTGATTTCAAAATACCTGTGCTGTTGGCATGTATTTATCATGATATAACATTTATACTAACAGGTAAAACGCATAATATAAAATATGCGTTTTACCTGATGATAAGTATTACTTGCTAAACTATAATTATATATGAAATGATGTGTAAATATTACACCATGATAACTCATAAAAGCACTTGATGTGGATCTAATTAGTATAGGAAAACGTAGTATAAATGTTATATCATGATATATTCATCACTATATTTGTAAACACAACTATATAAGTATGTTACATCTGCTTAGGTGTCTACACAAATCAACAGGATGCCTGTTATTCAGCCCACAGAAGAGCATCAAAATTATTACTGCCTGCTTTCAACTTCATAATTTGGCAATATTACTGAGGTTGCCTGAGCCTGATGTTCTTTGTGAGAATCCTGGACCAGAGGTGGACAGCAGTCCTGCTGATAACCACAACATGGATGGATGTAGAGTCAGGGGAAATCTTATCAACACTAGGTTTTAAATGAGGTAGCATACATATCCAATTGTGATACTTTTACTAAGAGGCCACATAATGTCAATAATCCCATACTAAAAGTTGTAAGGTAGCACTTTTTCAAAATCCAGCACCACTTTATGGCCTCACTTGTGAATATTGCATATTATTGTTTTTTGGAGTTTATGAAAATGTATTGTTTTTGTACATATGCTATATCCAAATAATAACACAAACAAACTAAACATCTTTGTGATCACAAGTAAACAGTAACATGAGTCACTGCCTTTAATCAAATTTGATTATGGGAGACAATGAGTTTCCAAATGATTTTTTATATTCAAATTTTTCTCTTTCCAGGTCCAGGCTCTGTCATTGGATGTCACGAATGTCCCGCTGCACAGACAGAATTTCCTCAAGGAGAGACATCTTTCTCTCCTCCTGGGCTTGTAAGGACCTTATCTCTCCCAGAATGTCTTCTGAAAATACATTAAACATTTTATTAAACATTTATGATCATGATATGTAATACTGAAACCACTACATTATGAACAAATATATGCCATACCTTCATTAGATGTTTTCTTGATCAGAGGCTTCCCTTTAGGTTTTCCTTGAAAACAAATTTGTATTGTTATTAACTGGAATTCATGATATAGTGTCTTGATTTTTTTATGTTAATACAAATTTACTATTGAATAAAGTTGCATAATGTTTAATACATACTGGTTCTGATAGCAGGAGTCATCATTATATCCTCCAGACTGGCTTGGTTCTTTTCTGAAATGTATATAATATTTTTAAGATAATTGTAACTGCTAACATCTCACATGGGGTACCAGTATTCAGTTTGTTCATATGTATTTACAGCATACACTTGGATTTTTAGAATAAAATAGCACCAAGTATATGAATTTATTCACCATGTCAGTGTAAATTGTAACATTTGATTATCTTTATTATTAAAAATTATTTCATACCTGTGATAGTTCCACAATCATTGTCTCCTGTGCTTGTAGCTGTCAGTGGAGTGTAAAACACCTCCTGTGGAGAATCTGAAATAGATAAGTTGTGAGTGCACTAAAATATTTGTATTGAAGATATTGCTTAATTGTGCCTGACCGTTAAGTGCATCGAGAAATCTCAAATATTTCTTTTGTATACATGTGTTCATTTATAATACATTTAATATGTAAGGGGAATTTGCCAATATGCAGGAGGTATTAGTTTTTGAATATGGCAATATTTAGTTTATTTACATCTTCAAAACAAAGAAATAAATGAGTTTGAAGTATTATTTACCAAACATTAATGCCTGTGTAGCTTCTTCAGTTTCATCAGGTACTGAAGGAATCATGCTGAACACTGTTAAATAAATAAAACATATTTTTCATTGGTGTTATCATAACAAATACTGTCAATATGTCATAAATATACCATCAAATACCAATAAAACTTGATTAAGTTACATACTTTATTGACTTTAGTACACATGTACATGAATCCCAAGAAGGAAGTGTCATCATTACCAGGTGTTTCCATGCCTCCTGAGATCCCCTCAATAGCACAGGATGGAATCAGCTGTAGAATCTATTTAAAGAAGGAATTGGTGGCTATATTACTATAATAATAGTTTATTTTAAAATGTGTAATACACAATTAGTTTTTCATGAATTATGTCTATTGTCACACAAACTCAATATGTTTCAAACCATTTTACTTTATCAGGTACATATTGAAACATTTTGTTTGTAGGCTTCATGCTGACATGAATTTATGTTAATTATTTACCCTCTTTTCAGTTGCAGTTAGGTCATCTGGGGGTGGTCCACCACCAGTCCTCCTAGCATTCAGCCTCCTGGCTGACTCTGCCTTCTTCACACATCCCTTCATGTCCGTCCATTTCTTACGTACCTCATCCTCATTCCGGGTTATGTCACCAGTGGCATTTAGTCTGATATTCAAAATTATTATTATTATTTTATATTATTATGATTAGTTATGGTGTCATTTGTGAAAATTCTTTGAAATTGGTATCTTTATTTAAAAATATGACTGTACTGTGTAAAATTCGTGTAAGATGTTACTTTATTTGTTCATCATGAAAAAACTGACAAGATTGATGATGTGGTTTTGAGGAACAATCACTCACCCACTCTCCTGTTCTTTCATATTTGATCATTATGCAATGATCATTAACAGTGAGAGGTTAATAAAATTTTGAAGTGAAGTGGTGGTTCGTAGTTGTTTATGTCATAAAGTGAAACCAAACAAATGAAAATAATCTGACCTTATTTAACTATCATTACATTATGTAATCCAGTATAGATCCACTTCTCTCAATAAACCTTTCCCCCCATTTCCAATTTGTTTCATTATACCTCACATTTTATGACCCTTGAAACACATGACAAATTCTTGTTACGTTATTGAACATTCTGGGAAACAAATATGTAAGTTGAAATAAATAAACAAATGAATATATAGTGGAATGTCCCCCTGCTTTCATGGGTGAAAATCATAGACTCACTTTTATGTTTTATGAGAGTTTCATTTTAAGGTTTCATCAGAATAAAAGGCGCTTACTTCGTGGTGATATCTTTCCAAATCTTCTTCTTTGTATTATTTGTCACTGTATTTGTAAAGGCCGAATTCAGCGTGTCAAAATTACTTCCTACGCCTGACACAATGATATCTATGTCAGCCGAGGTAAAGTTTCTCTTTCTTTTCTTCAGTCCAGAAGCGTCCATAATATATATCTTAAGGTCGTCTGCCGCTACGAAGGGGAACAACTCTAATATTACAATCTTCCGTGTTTCCACACAAGAGAGTTACTATTTTTGCCGATGCAGCTTGTTGTCGCTGTTATTTACTATTCAAACCCTCACACTTGACAGCTATTGATGGAACTTTGATGTGTAACAGACTATCATTAAACTCGAACAGGTTTGTAGTTATCTATACTCACCATATGAGCTTTTATTTCATTCATGTTTAGCATCTGGCTCTTTTTTGATAAAAATTAACAGGTGGGCTTCCATTTCCGGTTTGAATTGTATAGCGTTGCTATGCAAGTTAGGATGTCGTAAATCGTAATCTCACTCTTATCTTAAGAGGGGTTTACGACGGGCTTACGATGCCTTTGTGAAACGGTCGTAAGACAAGTCATTAGGACATCCTAAACTAGGTCGCAGCGGTTAGGAGGTCGTAGCGCTAAGAGGCTTTCGTGAAACGGCACCCAGGTTCCCAGCACTTTGTTGCTCGGCATACAGAGGGCCTCCCAAACACTGTTGCTTGTCATACAGAGGGACCCACATTTAGAACAGATCTCTAGAACACTGTTGCTTGTCATACAGAGGGACCCACATTTAGAACAGATCTCTAGAACACTGTTGCTTGTCATACAGAGGGACCCACAGTTAGAACAGATCTCTAGAACACTGTTGCTTGTCATACAGAGGGACCCACAGTTAGAACAGATCTCTAGAACACCGTTGCTTGTCGTACAGAGTGACCCACAGTTAGAACAGATCTCCAAAACGCTGTTGCTTGTCATACAGAGGGACCCACAGTTAGAACAGATCTCCAGAACACTGTTGCTTGTCGTACAGAGGGACCCACAGTTAGAACAGATCTCCAAAACACTGTTGCTTGTCGTACAGAGGGCCTCCGGTTAGAACAGGTCTCCAGAACACCGTTGCTTGTCATACAGAGGGACCCACAGTTAGAACAGATCTCCAAAACACTGTTGCTTGTCGTACAGAGGGCCTCCGGTTAGAACAGGTCTCCAGAACACTGTTGCTTGTCATACAGAGGGACCCACAGTTAGAACAGATCTCCAGAACACTGTTGCTTGTCATACAGAGGGCCTCCGGTTAGAACAGATCTCCAGAACACCGTTGCTTGTAATACAGAGGGCCTCCGGTTAGAACAGGTCCCCAGAACACTGTTGCTTGTCGTGAGGGGTGGCTAGCGGTATATGTGGTGGTCAGTCTGGGTGACTTATCTGATTGTAGTTGTACCCTGGCACCATGGGACAAAGATATCAATATCACATGTCTATCATGGCCTATGAAATATTTTTTTTAAAATAACAAAATATTTCCCATTCACATATTTCATCTATTACATTCCGAACTATCATATTTTTTGAAAACATGCTAATTGGTGACAGTAATAATATCTGACATCACCTGTAGACATTGCTAAGACCTACTCTTTTGTTGCAGCCTACTCCTGGTTCGCTCTGTGTGAATACCTCATCGTCCTGTCCAACGTGTGCTTCCACAGCACCATGATCCTTGACTTCAACACCTACAGTGTGGCCATGGTAGACATGGAACCATCAACTGCCCACACCACCTACCTGACTGTGTGACCTCGAGGTCCCCATTCCATCCCTCAGTCATGCTGTGTTGTAATTCAAGACCTTGCGTTCATTCAAATTTGTTGATATGTGGTGTGTGGGGGTGTTGGGGTTCATGGGTGTCCAAGCTATCTAAGACACTGCAATATGCTGTACAGAGTTGCATCCCTTTTGCAGGGCCAGGATCTGCTGATTTGACAGGTATGGCAAGTGATGTTAGGACTAGTGGGTTCTCTCTGTAGATGTATGTATGATCCATGTCTTATTTGTTTGTATGAGATTAAGTTTGACATATCATGCAATTTTTCCGCGACCACAAGGGCCACTGTGTTGGCGAGTCAGCCCACATCTGTGATATTGTGCATCCCACCGAGTCTCACATAACAGGTCAGGGTTTGTCTATTTCTGTTTTAGAGGCATGTTTCAGTTTCAGTTTATTTTACAAAATATTATACATATATATGCAGCATTTGTAACAGAATCGTTAAAAAGTTAAATAGTTTTTCACAAACCCTTACCTTTATATTCAGGGAATTGTGATTTTTGATAATTTTTATCATATCAAGCTTATGTTTAATTATTTAGAGATGGAATCTCAAGACTGCTATTTTCACAATACATTGCATGCCACCATCTCCAGACTCTAATTTAACATTCTTATATCGTGTACATGACATATAGTATATATGAGTTTCCTATATATTAACCATAATCGGTGACCAGAAGGTCCTGTTGCGCAGTCCAGGTCAACGTTTGGACTGCCATAACCACTTTTCGAATTTCATGTGTTTGTGCTGTATATTTATCAACATATATTTAATTTGTTTTACCAATATTGATATTGCAAAACTTGTTTGAATGTATGAATGATGCTGTGCCATCACGTGATCGTATGTTGTAGAATGTCTTTATTTACCACAGTGCCTAGCCAACATTGATCATAATGCCTCTGTGATCAAAGCCTTATTTAAAATGATAGTATTGATATCATACCTGGTTCTGTAAGAGATATAGAGATTATTATACAAGCACGTGTGTCATACTGATTTTATGCAACGAGTATCAGAGTTCTTGTATTTCCAGAGCCAGAGCCAGAGCGAGGGTAGTGCATGAATATTGTCTCTCGTTTCGTAAAATCAGTATGAAAGACATGTGAGTGTCATAATTTCTTTATTAACCATCATTTCGTAATCCTTTTGAGTTCCCCTTTAGAAAAATGCCATGATCACCGCTGTCCAAGAAAACCACAGTTTGTCAAATGACGTCAGTCTTGTGTGACGTCATTCCCACCTTACATCACAATAAGATTGGAATGATGTCGACAATGACTCCGGATGATATATAGAGAATCTCACCCGAGTGTCTTTTGATATCAAATATATCAACACGAGTTGATAAAAGTGGAAAAATTCCGAGGCTTGCCGAGGATTTTTGCCACTTTTATCAACGAGTGTTGATATATTTGATATCAAAAGACACTCGGGTGAGATTTTATTTATCATCCAACATCATTCTTTCAACTTTTTCAATTTGTAGACAGTAATTAGCAGTGTCTTCAGTGTAAAAAGTACTGCAAACAGCTTCAGTAGCAGAGCCATTAGTGATGTCATTTGATTGTGATGTCATGGTAACCAGTGATGTCACAATGGTCTGCAAAGCATTGTGATGTAATTTCATTGCAGAGATATCTACAGTGTAGATATCGCTTGATCTCATCCAAGCGATATCTCCTGTGGGAGCCAGTTTTGGATGATAAAAACAACACACTGATGCACGAGAAGTGGTATCTGCACTTGGGCACATACTGCGA